TCCAGGCCACAGGCTGCTATGTCCTGTCTCGTCCCCAGGCATTAGGGGCAACTGCTTTGTTTGACCACTGAAAGAATATCTTGGGGGCTCTGAGGCTTTGCTTCCTGTCCCTGCATTTTTTGGTGTCTGTAGCCAGTTTTGAGATCTCTGGATCAAATGCTCTGAATTTAGTCTTGCCTTTCTCTCTCTTCCTACTTTCCCTTCCTCATGTTCTCCCTTAACTGTCCATAATGTGGAATTTGCAAGCATTTTTGGCATTTGGAATAGTTGAACTACGTGCTATGTTCCTTGTTTTTGATACAAAGCTGGAGAATTAAAAGTCAACCATTCGGTTTATCAATCTTTATTGTGCGAGGCAATATCATCAGTGATTTCCAGCTGGAAAAGAACATTTAGTCCACCTCCTTCCTTGGACAGAATGAAAAATAGACGATCAGAGAGGGGAGATAGCCTACTGCCTAATCATCATCATCATCATCTCATGTTTAAGGTTTGTAAAGCACTTTACAGGCATCACCTCAATCCTCCCAACAACCCTTCGAGCCCTGGATATTAGGCCTGTTTTACAGATGGGGAAACTGAGTCTCAGAGAGTCGGCTTGCCCAAGATCCCAGAGCTCAAAAGTCAAAGGGGCGAGATGACTCAGACATGTTTCCTAGAGGCCTGTGGGAGGTTTGTGGGGCTTTCTCTTGTGGTGCTGGAAAAAAAAGTTCACGTGAGGGAGCTAGGAGACGGGGCAGACTGGCTGTCCTTCAGTTAAATGAGGGTGATGATTGCCTTAGCCTGCTTGGCTGCAAGGGACCAAAAGAGTCTGTAGCAGTTTGATATGAGGAAAAACTTGTGGAGAGTCTGAGCCATTTGCCCTTTGCTCTTACTCGTTGTCTTCATATAATCTTGAGAATTTGACGCAGAGTTGGAAGAGACATTGAGTCCAACCCTGGTTGCATGGGCTTCCCCTGAGCCAGACTAAGGCAGCCAGTCTAAGCCCATATCGGTCTGCTGCCCTGTGGTCAAGGGGGGCTCCCTGTTGAGGTGCATGCTTGGACTAGATGGCCTCAGAAACTCAGGATGTCTCTTTCAGATGTCTCTGCAGCAGAGGGCCAACTCTGTAGCCAGTGTGGCCATGGCCTGGCTGGGTTCAAGGCCTGCCACATGTAATGGGTTAAATAACCAGGAGCCGAAGGTTGTGGAGCTGGCAGAGCTTCCGCTGTGAAATGGGGAGAATAGCAGCTACCTATCTCCCAGGCTTGTGGGAAGAGAGAACTTGGCTAGTGACCTCAGAACAAGGCCAGGGATGGGAACATTTGTGTTACAAACTTAATCTCTGATTTGTTTGTGGTCTGGATGGTTTTCTGGGTCAGGGATACTCAATAGAAAAGAATGGTTTCCAACTCGGTTTTAAAACAGTTTCTGTTCTTTGGTTACAATTCAGGACCAAAAAAAAAAACAAACCGAAAGTGGCCTTGGAGGCCTAAGTTGTCATTGGGATGGGCAGGGCTCCCCGTCAGTTAAGAGGAGGGGACTGGACCAAGGCTTTGAGAGCCTGCTATAAGTGGGTGGATCCCTGGGAAAACTGGCCTGGCTGTTCCATTCTGGGCTATGTGAATTGCTTCTTTGCAAAACTAGCTTTGCTTGAAAAAGTGACTTCATCCAATTTTCAACCCTTGTTATCGAGGCTGAACAGAAGAAAGGCCAAAGCCTGGAAAGCCTGGACTGTCTGAGGGCTAAGGCATTAGGGTGGGTGGAGGAAGGCCAAGTTCTTGGGAATGGTGGGAGATTGCTTAGACACCACCTCACACTTTGGGGGCAGTGGTGTGGAACAGTCCCCTTCAGAAAAAACTCAAGTCTTCTTTCATTCCTGTTGGCTTTTAGGCTGGAGAGGTCTGTAAGTAAATCTGTGGCTTAAAACTTTGCTTCTGCCTTCAGAGTGAAGGCCTGCTTGGCTTATTTGGTTTGAAAGATCCCTTTCTAGTAAGGAAGGTAGCTCCCTAACAGAGCATCATTTCTTCTCTTCCTGTCACCAGGAGTGCCCGTGAGATGCCCTAGGCTCCTAGCATTTAGGACGCGCTAATGCTTCATCTGCTCCAGGCCTTCCCCTATGTAGTGGGCATACAGAGAAAGGCAAAAACCAGCATCTGCCCACAAAGGGCCTACAGTCTAATGAAGGAGGAGTGGTGCTGGTGAGAGCTGTATCCTGAACTTCCATGGATCACATGAGACTGGCTTTTTAGCTTCAGAAAGTCAGGGACATCCATTGTTTTAGGGCTTGGGGTCCAAGAATTCGGGTTTTGTTTTTTGAAAAAAGATCAGGATTGTGGTGTTTCAGTCGAATTGGTTTCCTGTGTAGTCAAGTGTCTTTTATTTTATGCACAGAAAAGTATTGTCCCGGGAAGGGCTCTGCCCATGAACTGCTTCTCAGGGCCCTCCCCCAACGAGGCACCCTGTGTTGAAAACAACCCTAGACAAAGGAAGCACCAGGGCAGCTTTCATCTAGGCAGCAGGGCTTAACAATGATTTTCTCTTTTTCCATTTCTTGACACGTTTTGACATAAGATGCTTCCCTCAAATACCCAAACAACCTCCTTACAATCTGGCAACAGTGGTATTGAACTCTTTTGGAGAGAGCTTCCTGGGTGCTTAACTGTGACATAGGGCTTCCATGCCAAGCTATGAGGGCCTGGGGACAGCCAGCCAGACTGGACAGCCAGACTGCTGGGCTTTGGGAGCAGGCTTAGCTAAGTTCTCCAGGGCTTCTTCCGTTTTTGCCTTTTCCAGCCCTGGCAACTCTGGAAGATTGGCTCTTAGGCAGAGGTGGCAGACCCACGACTCCTGGCCTGCAGCCTTCTAAATGAATATGGAACTGGAAAAGACAGTGAAAGGTGGAGAATGTCAGCAGTGTGCAGCCTTTGGGAGCCTTCTTGCGGATTGTGATTTGAGTTTGACACCTCTTGAGTCGAGGAGGGAGTGCTTGAGGTCTGCCCTGGTGGAGAGAGGCCAGCCCCAGTGCAGAGTTCCAGCTGACCATCAAGGGTTCTTTTGCTAACCCGTTCCTGGAAAGGACATTAGGCTTGGAGGCAAGAGACCTGGTTTAATCCTTGCTCTAATATTTCCTACCAGGAGCAAGTTGAGTGGCCTCATTGGACTTCCTCAGTTTCCCCTTCTGTAAAGTAAGGATGTTGGGCTTAGCTTGGAGATTGTTCTGTAGTCTGGGAATGCCAGAAGTCTCAGACCCTAGTCTGGGGGTGGGGAGGTTAGATTTATTTTTGCCACTGTTTGGTGAATGTCCATAAGAGCTCATCTCTAAGTATGGCGTGAGAATGCAGGAGGGCATTTGCTGATCATAGGGAAGGGCTCCTGGAACAGCAGCTGGGGCCAATTCCAGGAGTGCCAGCAGGAGACAGGAAGGAGGACATTTGGGGGCTACTTTAAGCTGACTTCTGTAGACATTTGGGAGAGTTCTCTTTCTCAAGCGTTTCTATCTCTGCTCCTAACCCTGACTTCCCCCAAGTCTCCCTCCAGAGAGGGCAGCCAGATATGGGCCTGGCCTGCCTACTATTACATCAGACAATGCAATGCTGACGATGACGGTGATGATGCTGTGGGGCAGGGCTCCTGAGAAGTGTTGGCCTCTGGGCCCCGGTACCACTCCAAGGCTAGCCCTGAGGGCCTATGCTCACCAGCCTGCTGCTGTTGCTATTGCTGCTGTTCCAGGCTTCCCTGGCTTTGCCCCCGCCGCCCCCCCACCCCGGCCCTCTTATGATGAGCGTCTACAACGAGGTTGGCTTGGCCACTCTCCACTCTGGCCATTGGCACCAAGTCTAATATTTGGGTTGGACCAGTCAGTCATCTCAGAGCAAGTGAGGGACTGAGGGGACATCACATTTGGGCAAGTGCTTTGGTACACGTATTTGAGCTGTTCAGAGGGTTTCCTTGCTTCCATATGTGATCTCTTCTGGAAGACTGCCATCGGGTACCGACCTGAAGACAAGGGTCAGAAAGTGTCTTGGGATGGTGAGGGGCCTTTTGTTCAGAGCAGTACTCAGCACTCAGTCTGAGGCCACCTCATGAGTTCCCCACCTATGTAGACTTTCCCTCTGGGATTGCCAGGCTCATGACTTTGAAAATCTCATTGTTTGGGCATGACATCAGCCCATCTGATCCTGGACTGGTGGGATTCAGTAGGCTAAGTGTCTGCTCTCAGGCTTGGTAGGCCCTGGAGTGGTCTGGCTCTGTCTGGGGAGAGGGATGGTGTGGTGGTATAGCTTTTCAGTTTCATCTCCCAGGCATTCAGAAAGGAGGGTTCAGTCTGTGATATGCCTGGATCAGCATCTTTCCTGCTAAACTTTGAGTTGGCCCTCCCACTCAGCTGCAAAGACTTTCTGAAATGGCCATGAAATAGGTGCCATTTGGCCTGGCAAGGACTATCTTCAGTTCACTCATTCAGCAGAAAGGCTCCACAGATCTAATGTGGTGAGGCCTCTGGGAACTTGACTAATTATGGTGAATGACCAGCTTTTGTATTGGTTTCTGCTATTTGACCTAAGGGTCTAGTATATTTCTGGCTTCTTCTCATAATATATTTTATCAGAGTAAATGGTTGACAGTCTTTACAGTATGGACATTACTGTGTACACATGACTTTCTTTTGTCTTACTAAAAATATCACAACCCTGTATTTTCCTTCAAATCTTGCTAGAGTTTAGCTTGAAAGATAGCTGGAAGATTGGGAAGCTTTTGGCTGTCCCTTTCCAGATGTGGCTTCTGTTTCTCCAGGCTTGTTTACAGTTGGAAGCGTGAATGGGTTGAGATATGGAGACTGAGGAGCTGGAGTTGGGGAAGGGCCTAGTACTGGAATAATGATGGTTAAGACATGAACAGTGAAAGAATCAAGGCTTTTTTTCTTTCTTTTTTTTTTTTCAAAAGGAGAGAAAATGAGGTTTTCTTTCTTAATGTTGATTTCCTTTGTGAAATGATTTTTCAAAATGTCCTCTTTTCTTCAGGTTGCTATGGGAATTCCATATAACAGCAGGAAAGGACAAATATTCCAGTGATATTGATGCCTGAGATGTGACTGGCCTGAGGAGCAGAGAGTGTGAACAGTTCTTGTGGCAACTTCTATTTCACTGTGATGGCTACAGATTCGGGGGAGCCAGCAGGCACCGAGGATTCAGAGAAACCTGATGGGGTCTCTTTGGAAAACAGAGTTCGTCCAGTGGCTGCCGCACTGACAATGGAGATTAGGCTGAAGGAAAATGCCAGGGCCTTCTCTGCTTCTGGGGAAACCACCGAGAGGACCAGGGTCTTCAGGAAGAGCATGGAGGTGATGGACAATGAGCCAGGCTCCAACTCCTTCCCTAAAGAACAGAGTGTCCAGGGTGCCCAAAGAATAGCTCAGCGTGCAGCAAACGGACTGGGACGGGGACAGGAGGCTAGTAAACACGACCAGGGGTCAAAGCCAAGTCCTGAAGCCCCCAAAGACTGTTGCAAGGAGAAGAGCGAAAAGGAGATGGAGGAAGAAGCAGAGATGAAGGCGGTAGCAACTTCCCCTAGTGGCCGTTTCCTGAAGTTTGACATTGAGCTGGGCCGAGGAGCCTTCAAAACAGTGTTTAAAGGGTTAGACACAGAGACCTGGGTGGAGGTCGCCTGGTGTGAGCTGCAGGTTAGTGTGCCCTCAGTGCCCTCTTGTGGTAGACAAACAAGCCCTGTCTTCAGAGTGTCACTCAGGCCAACCAGCCCTCACTGTCACTATCTGTCTGTCTCTCCGTCTCTGTCTCCCTTCTTTTTTCTCACTTTCTGTGTCTCTCTCCCCCTCCCCTTCTCCCTTCTCTCTCTTGTCTTTCTCACCTTCCCTCCTCTATCTGTCTCTTCCTCCTCTCTCCTTCTCTCCCTCTCCCTACCCCCTTTTTTTTCTCTCTCTCTCATTCTCTCTCTCTCTCTCTCTCTCTCTCACACACACACACACACATACACACAGTCTCACACTCTGTGTCTGTTTCCTTCCCTTCCTACCCCGAATTCATTCATTCATTCATTCATTCATTCATTCATTCATTCATTCATTCTCTCTCTCATTCTCACACACACACACACACACACACACACACACACACACACACACACAGTCTCACACTCTGTGTCTCTTTCCTCCCCTTCCTCCCCCTTCATTCGTTCTCTCTCATCTGTGTCTTTTCTTTATACTGATTTAGAGGTGTGCCTGTTTGGGTTTTGGCATGTTTCCCCTTCAGTTAAAAAAAAATCATATCATACTCTGCAGCCCTCATTTGTAGAAGGAAGACAGTGCCCAGGTTCTTTGCCCTTTGGCCTTGCTAACTCTGGCTGAGCTGCTGCTTTGTTCTGTTCAGGCAGAGTTTGGGCTAGCTCAGGCTTCGAGGCTGGATCTGAGCCTTTTAGGTGGCATCTAGAAGAGGCCATGGCAAAACCTCCCTTCATACCGATGCCCAAGACCTCTTTGGAGTTAAGAGACGTCAGAGCCCACTAGACCGCCCAGCAGTCAGGAGCTGTTTCCCTCTGGCTGTATAGGGTTACTTAGTGCTTTGGACTTAATCATTAAGAAATGTAGATCTAAGGGCAGCTAGGTGGCGCAGTGGATAGACCTCTGGCCTTGGGAGTCAGGAGGACCTGAGTTCAAATCTGGCCTCAGACACATAGCACTCACTAGCTGTGTGACCTGGGCAAGTCACTCAACCCCTATTGCCTCACCCAAAAAAAGAGAAAAGAAACGTAGACATCATGATTATAAGGGGGAGTACAATGATGAAGACATATGCAGGAAGTGAAGTGAAGTGTGGCCAGCTTGGCCTAGAGGCTGTGAGTGCTCAGCACAGATGTTAGGGCTGGGAGGAGTGGCACAGACTGGAGAGTCCAGGGTTCGGGGACTCAGCTACTCTGAGTTTGGAAGATTTGGAGAACTAGATTTCCACAGATTGGTTTCCTTTGTCATTTTTCCATCCTGGGTATTTTATTTCTTTTTTCAAAAAGGGGCCCTGTTCTAGGCCAGCCCCTTTATTTTCCACAGGGGGAGTAGGGAAGATGAGAAATACGGTTTGCCCCAACTCCCAGGGGCTTCTGGGCTCCCTTTCTTTTGCTTCATTAAAAAATGAATTTCTGGGGCAGTTAGGTGGCACAGTGGATAGAGCACCGACCAGCCTTGGAGTCAGGAGGACCCGAGTTAAAATTTGGCCTCAGATCAGACACTTGACACTAGCTGTGTGACCCTGGGCAAGTCACTTAACCCCGTTGCCTAGCAAAAACAAAACAAACAAACAAACAGACAAAAAATTTCTGGGCATCTTTAGTTTTTATATGACCTTCATAACAAAGACAGTTCAGCCAACCCAACAGAGCCATCAATCAACAGTGTATGTAGCATTGTACACCCGTGGCACCCCACCTTTGCCAAGATGGGAGGGAGGCATTGTGTGGGCCCTTTCCCAGTTTTGTGTGGCTCTGCTGCCTTGTTTTTTTGGCCATTGACCCGGGCCCAGGGCTCAGCTAGCACAGTCACTGAGGACTTTAGGGTCTTTGCGTGGGGGAGGCAGGAAGCAGCAGCATCTGCTCATTTGTGCCCGGTTAGTTTAAGAAGCGTCAGAAGTGACGAGGGCTCCTTCTCTCCTCTGTGCCCAGTTTTCTCCAGGGGACGTGTGGCACACACAATGTGGTCAGATGTTCAAGGCAGCAGAGAGGCTTTGTTGGCAGCATCTTTAGGCCTCCAATCCCTACCCACTGGGGAAGGGAAAGGACAGTAACAGGCATTGATCCAGCACCTGCTATGTGCCAGGCACTGCAAAAAGCGCTTTTACAAATTCTGTCTCACTTGATCCTCACAGCAACCCTACAACTGGGTGCAGAGAGGTGAGGTGACTTGCTCAGGGTTGCATGGCCAATAAGTGTCTAAGGTCAGATTTGAACTTGGACCCTCCTGCTTGACCTGAGGCCTGGCACTCCCTCCATTGGAGCATTACCAGCTGCTTCTATAACTGGCGTTGGGCTTTGTTTCAATTCAGGAAATGACTGAGTGAAGGCTCCTGGTCAGAGCTGCTGGGAAGAGTGTTGGCAATATGGTATTTAAAGGAGGCCTGTGGAGTTACCAGGAGAAGGCTTTGAGCCCTGGAGAGGGAAGGGACCTCAATTGTAGAAACGGGGGGATAAAATAGGATTCTAAGAACATGGTCCCAGTTTGAGAGACAGAGAAAAAGATGGAGACAGAAAGAGAGACGAGAGGAGAGAGAGAGAGAAGAGAAACAGGAGAGAGACAGAAGGAAAGAGGAGACAGAAAGAGAGAAGGAAAGAGACAGAAGGAAGAGAGAAGAGGAACAGAGAAAAGAGAGATGGAGAGAGAAGAAGAGAGACAAGGAGAGAGACAGAGACAGGAGAGAGGCAGAAAAAGAGATGATTGTTGGTAGATGTGACCTTCCCTTGGCCTTAGCCTGCACGTGATCAGCTGAGTGTTTATAGACAGGGGGCTTGGGAAAACTCCACTCTTGGTGTGTGCATCCTCATCAGTGTATGATCAGGATGCTCACTTCAAGGAGATACTGAATACCATGAACCAGGGTGGCTCAGTGGGTAGAGCGCTGGGCCTGGAGTCAGGAAGACATGAGTTCAAATCCAACTTCAGACACATACTAGCTGTGTGACTGTGGGCAAGTCACTTTACCCTGTTTGCCTCAGTTTCCTCAGCTGTAAAATGAGCTGGAGAAGGAAACGGCAACCTACTCCAGTATCTCTGCCAGGAAAACCCCAAAAATGGAATCATGAAGAATTGGACACAACTGGGAAACAACGTGAGGTTAGCCTACCCAGTAAGGCCCTGGGCGTTTTCTTAAGTCTTGAAGGGCGCTGGGACAAGGCTAGCACCTGCAAAACATTTTTGGACCCCTTGTTTTGAAATTGCCTGGAGAGACCTCATTGGCCAGCTCATCTGCATTGCTTCCTTTTGATAATGGGCCAGATCGCAGCAGGCCAATTGGACGGGTGGCTCTCCCAGTTTTCCGCAAAGACTGACCCAGCTTGAGTGGCTTTATGGGCCAAACTGGCCAATCCCTTTCTAAGAGGAAGTCCTTGCCCTGTTCTCGGGGTCTCTGGGCCGGGAAGCCTCCGCTTCTCTGCTAGTTGTCTCTTGAAGCCCGCCCCAACCTCGTCATCATTTTTTCTCTGGCTAATAAAGTAGAGTTGGAGGGCCATGAAGTCCAGAGGAGGAGGTAGATGGATGTAGCCAACCTGGGCCTCAGGCACTGTCACTTTCCCAGAAAACCTTTTGTTTTCAATGTTTCACACTGAACACAAGCCCCTGAGAAAACAGAACTGCAATGATTTACCAAACAAAGAGCATTGGGCCTTTCCCAGTGCTTAGCATAGGGCCTGGCACGCAGGTAGAGCTCAGAACGTTTTCCTGCCTAAGTGCCTTTCCTCTGGGGTCATGGGACAGGTGGGGCGCAAGGTGGAGGGGGCCTTCTGTTCTCTCCCCAGTTTTCTTTTCACACTGCATTTCCCTGTGTCTTTCACTGACTTTCTCTCCTGCACTTCCACTTTTTAGGGGGTTGCCACAGTACTGTTCGATGCTGCCAGGCTGCCGTGTGTTCACTGTGTCCCTGGCCTGCAGGTGGCTGGTGCTTGGCTACTCAGATGCTGATGGAATGCAATTACAGAATTGAACTCCACACTTTTGCTCTTAGAAATAATGGGAACACTAGTATTTTTGTATTGATTTTCATTTTTTAAAAAAATCTTTAAGGATGCATAAAGGGCAGTGTGGCCTCACAGCCAGGAAGGCATGGGTTTAACCCTTGCCCCCGACACCTGTTAGCTGTTTGACTGATGCCATGAAGATTTGGGTGCCCCTGTTCTTCCCCCACCCCAGACTGGAATGGGATCATTCAACCCCCACTCCCATCCCCCAGAAGTGCCGCCATCAGTGGGTAAGCATGTTTATGTGCCTGCTGGAGGCCTGGGGCTGACAGGTCTTGTTCCTTGGCACACATTTCTTTTTGCTCAAAGTCGTTGTACTTCAGTGCGGGTCTTGGCAGTGAGAACCAGATCTCCACAGCCACGAGTGAGTGTGTCCCAGAACTTGGCTTTTGACTTCAGCCTTCCTGATCCCCAGGGCTTATTCACTCCGAAGTGGGTAAACTCAGAAAACTGAGGCACAATACATTCCCAGGAGCACAGCACCACTAAAAAGAGAGCCCTGTATGTTCCCAGGAATGAGCATGAGCTCTTCCATTGCCACCATCTAGGGAAGTCTGCAGGGGCCATCCCTCCCTTCTTGAGATAGTCTAGCCCCCCCCCCTTCTCTTTGCCCCAGAGAGCAAGCATCCATTTCTAGAAGGTGAGTTCTGCGTTAGCAACTGTGTCTAAGCAGCCAGAATCTTGGACATCAGTCAGTCAGTGAGTCACTAAACATTGGTTAAGCGCCTACTATGTGCCAGGTACTGTACTAAGCCTGGGGGTGCAAAAAGAGGTAAAACACAGTTCTTGCCCTCAAGGACCTTAGAATCTAATGGGGGAGACAATAAGCAAACATATATAAATGAGCTCTGTACCAGATGAATAGGAAATAATGAACAGAAGGAAGGCATTGGGATTAAGAAGTGTCAGGGAAGTCTTCCTATAGGAGGTGAGATGTTAGTTTGGACTTCAAGGAAGCCTGGGGAGCCAGTAGGCCAAGATGAGGAGGGAGAGCATTCCAGGCCTGGCAAATAGCTAGGGAGGATGGACAGTCTTGTTTGTGTAACTGCAGGAAGGCCAGAGTCCCCGCACAGAAGAGTACACGTGGTGGGGAGTGACATGTTAGAAGACAGAGAAGATAGGGAGGGGCTAAGGTTACAGAGGACTTTGAATGTCAACCAGAGCATTTTGGGTTTGATCCTGGAGGCGATAGGGAGCCACTGAGATTTATTGAGTTGGGGGAGGGGGATGACATGGTCAGACCTGTGCTTTGGGAAGATCACTTTGGTGGCTGAATGGAGGACAGACTGGAGTAGGGAGAGACTTGAGGCAGGCAGAGCCCTAGCAGCTGCTGCGGTGCTCCAGGTGTGAGATGGTGAGGGCCTGCACCAGGGTGGGGGCAGGGTCAGAGGAGAGAAGGGACTGTATTCGAGAGATGCTGCAAAGGTGACCTTGGCAAAGGATTGGATATGGGACGGGGGTGATAGAGTGAGGAGTCCAGCATGACGCCTGGGTTTTGAGCCTGAGGGACTGGGAGGATAGGGGTGGGTGCCTTCCACAGTAAAGGGGAAGGTAGGAAGGGGCAGGGTTTAGAGGGAAAAGAAATGAATTCCATTTGGGACATGTGCAGTTTGAGCTGCCTACTGGACGTCGGGTTCGAGGTGTCTGAGAGGCAGAGGTCGGAGGTCAGCAGAGAGGCTGGGTCAGGAAAGGGAGATCTGAGAATCCTCAGCATAGAGATAGTTGGCCATTCAGTCCACGGGAGCTGAGGAGGTCCCCGTGGGAAGTAGGATAGAGGGGCAAGAGCCCAGGGCCCGGGACAGAGCCCAGGGGACCCTTAGGGTTTAGGTGTCGGAGGTCCCAGCTACAGGAAGCCTTTCCCAACCCATCTTGTGTGTGTAGCTTTTGTTTGTCTTTTGGTTTTTTTGGTACGTATTTGTTCGTTGTCTCCTCCATTAGACTGGAAGCTTCTTGAGGTCAGGGACTGGCTTTTGCCTCTCTCTGCATCCCCAGTGCTTGGCACAGGGCCTAGCACATAGTAAATACCAAATTGATGTTGATCAACTGACTGACAAATTGAGATGATCAAGAGGCAGTGAGTTAGTATCTAGTATTTCTCCAGTATTTCAAGCCTTGCAAACCCAGAGAGGTAGATGCTGTGATCCCTTCTTTACAGATGAGGAAACTGAGGCAAGCAGAGGTAAAATGACTCGCCCAGAGTCTCACAGCTAGTGTCTGAGGTGGGATTTGAATTCAGGTCTTTCCTCACTCAGTGCCACCAGCTGCCTCATGTCCGAGGGATGGTACAGTGAGAGAGGTTACATGTTGCTGTTTGGTGAATAAGAGTCACTCCCCATTCTAATTCACTGAAATAAAAGCAGCTGGAATCAGCTTTGAAGTGACTCTGAGGCTTTTGGGGTATGTTTTCCCTGCCCTTTGCCTTGATTGGCCCATTGGGGCCCCCCACTCTGAATCTCGGGCCCCTCGGCTAGTGTGGCCTCTTGGAGCAGTAAGGTCAGGAGCAAAGGTTCCAAGGCATTTGGCTTTTGAGGCGTTGTCCGGATTAGGCTGAAGTCAATTCCTATTTGTTGACCTGCTCTGCGAGTCTGGCCGCATCTGTTACAAGGACTGGCTGGCTGTGTCTTTGGGCTCATTATCGATGTGTCTTGGGGCAGCATGTTCTCAGCTGTCCTGGCTGGACTTGGTTGCTTCTGTTCTTTGGATGATTCCAGCCCTAACCCCAAGGCCCCATGTTGGAATCCCAACTTGAAGCCAGGTAGCTGTAAGCTCAGAATCAGAAGCCTTTTTGCTCAGTCAGCTCCTCCGGGTTCGTGGCTTTTCTCCCTCTTCTTTTAGTGGGCCTCTGAGGCTTTTTGGCTCAACCCTAGATGGCCTGCCAGTCTGCCATGGCAGATTCCAAAAATGGCAGGTTTGAAGCAAGTGTTAGCATTTGGCATTGTCATTTTACCACGTTGGCAGTAGGGAAGTGGGCCTCAGTCTGGGCTTCTGCTTCCTAGAATTAATGGGATTTTCCAAAACAAATGTTAAGTGAATCATTCCTCTAATTATTTGCCAATAGGGGAGGAAGAAATTTGATCAGCATTCTTGCAAAGAAGCTTGTGTGGGAGTGCAGTTGTCTCATCAGCCTCGGATGGGGCTCCCGCCTGCCCTAATTGCCAGGCGAGCATTTAGGGCTGTGAGTTTCCAGAGCTCACACAGGTAGTCAGTGGGATACCTGAAAATTGCCCCCCAAGTCCCGACTCCAGAATTGGTGACGCTTCTACCTTTTCTCTGTGGATTTGATGACCGGCTCTCCCCTTTTCCTTCCTTTCTTGTGAATCTTGTCTCTTGCGGGTGTGTCTGGTTTTTGCTGGTGGTCTGAGAGAGCATATGAGGGCTAACATTCCAGTCTTTTTTGCTGTCCAAGTTAAATATTAAGAGATTTGGGGACAGTGTGGTTCCAGAACTAACTACTTGGTAGGTGACACCTGACTGAAAAAGCAGGGGTTGTTGGGAAGTCTTGTCAGGAGTTAAACACTGATTCTGAGGAAGAATCACTCTTTTGTCTGTTTTGGCTAGTGAATGAATGAATGGGGGAAACAGTATTGATGTGTCACCTACAATGTGCAGAGCCCTGTGCTAAGTGCTGGAGATAGAAACAGAAAGTGGAGCCGGGCCCTGCTGTCTCGAAGCTCCCGTGCTGATAGTGGGAATCGGCCCAGGGACAGGGCAGATGGAAAGGCCCCCGTGGTTCTTAGGGGGCAGCACTATGCGGGGGGGAGGGGTGCTGGTCATAGCCCTTCTTCTCATGGCTCATTTCCCCTGAGAAAACCAGAGCAGCTTCAAGGGGAGCTTTCTGACCTCACCAAGATTCTTGATGTCTAAGAACTTTTTTGTGTGGGAAATGATTTTTAATCTCACTTTGATTCCAAAATCCCTTCTCCATTTCAGGACCGGAAACTGAGCAAAGCTGAGCAGCAGAGATTCAAAGAAGAAGCTGAGATGTTGAAGGGTCTTCAGCACCCCAATATAGTCCGATTCTATGACTCTTGGGAATCCGTAGTGAAAGGGAAAAAGTGCATTGTTTTAGTGACTGAGCTCATGACATCAGGCACTTTAAAGACGTGAGTTAACTTGACTTTGGGCTAGGGTGTGTGGGTGTGAGTGGGTGTGCGTTTGTGGTGTGTGCGCGTTTGTGGTGTGTGCGTGTGTGTGGTGGGGAGGGAGTGAATGTATGTGTGTGTGCAGGTAAGTATGGGTGTGTTTGTGATATGTTGGAGTGAGGGTGTGAATGTGTGTGTGTCTGTGGCTTGGGGGTGAGTGTGGCTGTGAGTTTGGGGCATGTAGTGGGGGGGTGAATGTAGGGGTTGGGGGAGTGTGTAGGTGTGTTGCCAATTGAGAGTTCTCTGTTCCATTCTCTCTGTCTTGGACCCCCGATCCCCCCCCCAAATATTTTTGGGAATTAGAATATAGATAGTCCTAAAATTTACTTCCTTAAGACTGTGGACTTTGTGAGCACACTCCAGATTGGCTTGAAAATACAGTGTTAATTCAGGTCTTTTGAAGCACCATTTTGGTAAATTAAACTATGTAGGAAATTGTTTTCTTCCCTTAGAACAGCTGGTGATTTGGTGGTGAGAGGGCATCCAGAGCCAGGAAGAGCTAAGCACAAATCTGGCCTTAGATGCTTCTTTAGCGATGTGACCCTGGGCAAGTCACCTCACTGCAGTCTGCCTCAGTTTCCTTACCTGTAAGATGGGTTAGGGTTAGGTTTTGCAAAGCACTCAGGTGCTTGAGAAATACTCATTTCCCTTTTCCCCCCTTTTCCTTTCCTGCTTAGTGTTAGGTCTTGTTTTTATAGAAATCATTTGAGGAAATCAGGGTGTTTCACAAGGGGGTGATCCAGCATCAAGCGTAAGCCCAGTGTCTTTCAGCAGCCAAACAGAAGGGTTAGAGGGTTAGCAAGTTCTCTGAGGCCACCCAGCTAGCTCCCTTGGCCTTGATCCTAAAAGCAGGTGTTTTTGCTGGTCTTGGGTGACCTAGCCAGGTGTTCCACGAGCTGAGATAAGGCTCTTTGTTTGCATCTCAGCAGCCCTAAGGCAAAAGAAGGGACTTGGCCACTCCTCCTGGCCCTTTGGAGATGCCATACCCCTGCCTGTCTGCTGGTGGAACCTTTGCCCCCCAGGGGTGCTGGAAGCCAGAGCCAAGGCAGATGGGGGAGCCTGGGAATACAGATGGGGAATACAAAGTGGTGAGACTTCATGTTTCTCCGTGTAGGTACTTGAAGCGGTTTAAAGTCATGAAGCCTAAAGTGTTAAGGAGCTGGTGCCGGCAGATTTTGAAGGGTCTACAGTTCTTGCACACAAGAACGCCACCCATCATCCACCGGGACTTGAAGTGTGACAACATTTTCATCACTGGCCCAACTGGTTCAGTGAAGATCGGGGACCTGGGCCTAGCCACCTTGATGCGCACATCATTTGCCAAGAGCGTGATTGGTAATGTCTCTGGTTTTGTGGCTTGGACCAAGGGTGGGGTTCCTTGTCAAGTAATGAGAGCCTAGGGCCAGGCTCTGGACAGGTGACTTTTCTTCTCTGAAGGCTCCTCAGGCATCTTTCTGTCGTTTACTTTGCACTCTTAAGAAGGGCCACAGAAGATGAGGGAGAGGGTTTGCTAGTTTGCTAACCAAGACACTGAGGCAACACAGAATAAGCAGAAGCCGCACCTAAATTCTAGTAGTGCCTGTGGCCAAGGGTCGGCCGCTAAACCGCTTCATTCACCTTTTGCTAGGAAGAGGTGCCATTACCTGTGGTGAGCAAGCAGTGAGTGTAGTAGATGTGTTTGTGCAGCATCCAGAGTTGCCTTTAGGGAGCTCCATAATATGCTCCACAGGAGACGAGACGGCTTTTCCTCCTTTCAGGAAAAGGTGTTGGTAATTTTCTGTTTGTAGGAACCCCAGAGTTTATGGCTCCAGAAATGTACGAAGAGCACTATGATGAGTGTGTTGACGTCTACGCTTTTGGTATGTGTATGCTGGAGATGGCGACTTCCGAATATCCATACTCCGAGTGCCAGAATGCTGCTCAGATCTACCGCAAAGTGACCAGCGTAAGTCTGAGTTGAGACATGTTGGACATTCTTGGTGTCTGTTTTCAAGGGATGTGTGAAGGAAATGGGGCCAGATGGGGCTCTGTGCAATGCTGTGATGTCGCCCTCAAGCCAGCATTTCTGGGTCTCTCTGTCTCTCAGCTTTCTGTGCAGATGGCTGGGAGGCTGCTTCAGCAGGTGATGGTATGAACCCTAGGTTAGTGTTGTTTGGATGGAGCAGCTTGGCCCCATTGGAGTCCACACAGGTGATAAAGAGCTTCCCTTAGACTGAGGCAGGCTTGGGGCTCACCTCATTTCTCAGGCCCCCTTCCTAGAGCTGAGGCTTACTGTGCCTCATGGTCCCTGAAAGGATTGGAACTCCTTGAGTCTGCCTGCCATGTACCAGGTACTCTGGAAGCCCTTGGCCAAGCGTATGAAGCCATCTTGTTGCCCCTGAGACCATGGTGTGGTAGAGTTGGTCAAGTTTACTGCAGGCCGGCTCTGTTGGCAGGGGACGGCACCGGTTCACTTACCTGGCTAGAAAAGAACCTTCATTGCTGGGGAGCTTAGCGACGAAGCTGGCTGCTGTTCTTTGAGGCCCCCCTTACCCGCCTACCCCAACCACGGCCATGTGTGAGCCACATGGCTCCAGTTCTGGGGGGTTGCCAAGACCATCTCGAACAGTCGGTCTCCATTTTTTTCTTAGGGGATCAAACCAGCTAGTTTCAACAAGGTGCCTGATCCAGAAGTGAAGGAGATCATTGAAGGGTGTATCCGCCAGAACAAACGTGAAAGGTGAGTGTCTGCACGCTGTAAAGTGCCCTAGAGCTTGTTCAGTCAGTCAGTCAGTCACTCAAGCAACAGCAACAATAAATAAGCACCTACTATTTGCCGGGGCGGGGGGGCAGCTGCAGGGGACAGAGCACTGGGCTTGGCATCAGGAGGACTTACCTTCCTGACTTCACATCTGGCCTCAGACACTTCCTAGCTATGTGACCTTGGGCAGATCAGTTAAGCTCTGCCTCAGTTTCCTCAGCTATAAAAAGGGAAATCATAATAGGATCTACCTCCCAGGGTTGTTGTGAGGATCTGATGCGATGATGTTTGCAAGGTACTAAATGCTGCGTAGATGGAAGCCAGTGTTTGAGGGAGTGTAATAGTATGAGGGTGTGAGGTGGCAGAGTGAATAGAGCTCCATGCCTGGACTCAGGGTGACCTGAGTTCAAATCTGACCTCAGAAACTTACTAGCTTTGTGACCCTGGGCAAGTCACTTAATCCTGTTTGCCTCAGTTTCCTCATGTGTGAAGTGAACTGGAGAAAGAAATGGCAACCCACTGCAGTATATCTGCCAAGAAAACCCCAAACGGGGTCATGTAGCATTGGGCATGACTGAAAATGACTGAACAACAACAATAAATGTGTCAGGCATTGTGCTGAGGGAAAAAACAGCCCCTGCCCTCAAGGAACTTACAATTTAACGGGGAGACAACAAGCAAACAAATAAATACCACGTAATCTCTCTGGTAGATGAATAGGAAATGATTACCAGAGGGAAGGCCTTGCAATGAAGAAGGGACAGGGAAGGCTTTCTGGAAAAGGAAGGATTTGAGTTGGGACTTGAAGGAAGCTGGGGAGGTCAGCAGGCAGAGTGGAGTAGGGAGAGAGTGGGTCCAGGCCTGGAGAATGGTCAGAGGAAATGCCTGGAGCCGAGAGCTAGAGACTCTTGTTGGTAAAACAACCAGGAGGCCACTGTCCCTGGATGGAAGAGTATGTGAAATGGAGAGGAGTAGAAGAAAGCTGGAAATGGAGGAGGGGGCTAGGTTAGGAAGGGCTTTGAGTGCCAAACAGAGCACTTTGCATTTGTTCCTGGAATGGGGAAGGGGAAGTGACAGGGGCAGACCTGAACTTTCGGAAGATCACTTTGGCAGCTGATGGAGGACGGACTAGAGCAGGGAGAGACTGAGGCAGGCAGAGCCTGTCCTCCCAACAGCTACTGCCAGGGTCCAGGCGTGAAGTGATGAGGGCCTGCGTCAGGGTTGGGGGCCATGTCAGAGGGGAGAGGGGGGCATGTATGAGGGGTACTGCCAAGGAAGAGTCTCACAGGCCTCGGCACCAGGTTGGATATGGGGGATGAAGGAGAATGGAGTCCAAGATGAGACCCTGAGGGACCAGCAGTCAAGATGTGTTGAGTTTAAGCTGGAACAAGGGGCTCCTTCTGGGGCCTCAGTGGCTTCTTTTGTCAAATAGGGAAGTTACATGAGATGACCGCTGAGGTCCCTTCAAGCCGCAAACGTATGATCTTTGTTCATCTTGGTGCAGACTAATGACTATGGGAACTTGAGAGGCTGAGGCTGTGTCTGTATTTAAAACAAACCCTGGAGGAAAGATCTGGATTCCTCCTATCTTTTGTATTTCTCTAAAAAGAGATGGTTAAATGGCCCAAGAGTCTACATCTGTCAGTTGGCCTAAAATCCTACCTCTAGGAGCCAGAAAGACCAGGGGTCTCTTGGTGGACCCAAGTGCACTTTCATTGCCAAAAGGGACCAGGCTCGTAGGCTGGCTGTGGGAGCAAAGCTGAAAGATCGGACTGGGGCTGCAATAAACGTTGGCTCTGCTCCCTTTCCCTCCCTCCCTCCTCCCTCCTCTCATCTCTCCCCCTCCCCCTCTAACTCAGCAGGTTCCAACTAACAGGACTTTTTTCTGGATTCGCTTTCATGGAGACAGGAGTAATTAAAGTCACCAAACCAGTCAATTAACTAGCAGGGGTTATGATGTTTAACTTTTTATTATGAATTTTTTAAAAAGGGAACATTTCTGCATACGGTGTAGAACAAGGAAAAAATGTTAGATCCAAAAATACATATCTCTTGTGTGAAACTTAGATCTTTTTAAAAAAATGTGAAATACATTCAACATGTTCCTTTCAGAGCTTTCTGCTAGGTGGCGCCACTGTGGAGAGAGTGCTGCAGGAAGGAAGCCAAGTTCAAATGCAGTCTCACACTGGGTCAGCTTGGGCTTGTCACTTTACTGCTATCTGCCTCAGTTTCCTCAACTGTAAAATGGGGATAATAATAGCACCTGTCACCCAAAGGTGGTTGTGAAGGTTGAATGAGACAGTGTTTTTGTAAAGTGCTTAGCACAGTGCCGGGCACACACTAGGGTAGTCCTGCTCCTCCACCACCACTATCATCATCATCAGTGTTTCTCTCTGAACTTCCTTCAGTTCTCTTTGGTGCATTTTCAGAAATGGTTCATTGGCTTTTTTGGGGACAACCTTTTGTAAGCTCCCCTTTCCTCCCAATAGGAAAAACAAAACAACCCAATTCTTTTATATATATAAAAGCAAATCTTCATCTTTGCCATATCCGCCAATGTCTGTCTCATTCCTCAACTTGAGTCTTCCCCATCTGTGTCAGGAAGTCCCCCATCACCACTGTCATCATCCCTAACATTTATTTATACCTGTGCCTGACATTGTGCTGAGGGCTTTACAAAGAGGATCTCATTTAATCCTTACTACAACCTGGGTTGGAGGTGCTATTATTTTCATCCCCATGATACAGCTGAGGAAACGGAGGCAGACAGAAGTTGAGTGACTGCCTGAGGTCACATAGCTAGTAAGTATCTGAGGTTAGATTTGAACTTCCTGATTCCTGTTTCAGCACCTCTCTCCATTGGGCCACCTGGCTAACAGCTCTGAAAGTCATATGTTGAATGTATTCTATATTTTTTGATATCATGGGTTCTCTGGAATGAGTCTTGGTTGGTAGTTGAGTTGATCTGAGTTTGAAAAGGCTTTCAAAAGGCAAGAGGCAGCAGCCCCTAAGGCAGGGGTGGGGAACCTGCAGCCTTCTAGGTCCTTGGGTGTGGCCTTTTGACTGAGTCCAAGTTTTACAGAACACTTCCTTTTATGAAGGGGATTTGTTCTGTGAAAATTAGATTCAGTCAAAGGGCCACACTTGAAGACCCAGAGGGCCACATGTGGCCTGGAGGCCACAGGTTCTCTACCCCTGCCCTAGGAGTTTCCACTCTGTTAAGGGAGTGTGGCCTGTACACGTCATGTCACGTCGGTCCACAAGGTAGCAAGGTGGAGCTGGTTGGAATTTCTGTGAGTGCAACAGATCAATGAACTATTTTCAGCCCAGTTTCTCTTGCCTGCTCTGCCGCTGGCCCTGACTTCCTTCCAACGAGGTGGCTAACTGAGCTCCTCACGTTTCTTGTTAGGTTATCCATCAAGGACCTCTTAAACCAGGCATTTTTTGCTGAAGACACAGGGCTGAGAGTGGAGTCAGCCGAGGAAGACGATGGTTTCAATTCTTCCTTGGCGCTGAGACTCTGGGTTGAAGACCCTAAGAAACTGAAGGGCAAGCACAAGGACAATGAAGCTCTGGAATTCAGTTTTAATTTAGAAACAGATATCCCTGAAGAAGTGGCCTATGAGATGGTGAGTCAGCTCCCTACCCCAGTCTCTTTAGGTAGATGCCTCCAGGGGACGCTTGAGGCTCTCCTTGAGTTCTTGTTTGCTGGGGGGGGGGGGTTGTCCAAAGGGGTCCACTTGGGCCAAGCAGCTGTTCCTCCTGCTCCATACCTTTTCCTGCCCTGTCTGGCATTGGAATATCTTTGATATCAATTCTCCCAAGTCTTCCCCACTGCCTCCTCATGGTTCTCATGGGCTGTACTAGTAGAATTGGAAGGTTCCAGTCCAGGCCCTGTGATGGACCATTGGTGTGGGCCAGAGGTGGGGAACCTGCGACCTTGAGGCCACATGTGGCCTTTGACTGAATCCAAACTTCATGGAACAAATCCCCTTAATGAAAGGATGTGTTCTGTAAAACTTGGACTCAGTCAAAAGGGTTAGGGTTAGAGGCTGAGTCAGAGGCATTTAGGGTCTAACCCTAAATGTGCACCCAAGTATCTAGAAAGTCACATGTGGCCCTGAGGCCGCAGGTTCCCCACCCCTGTGGGCTGTCTGAGGACCAGCCAAGCTCAGAAGGTTGGCCATTTGTTTGATGGCAATTGATGAACTAGCTTCCGGTGACAGAGGAAAGTTCACTTTGGTGGGGGGCAGGGGAGGGAAGGTATTTATCTTTTAATATCACACCCTGAGGAAATCTAACCAAATTCTGTACTTCTCTTTCATTCTTTAAACGCACTTTGTAAAAGCTCTGAACTCTCAGTCTAGAAGGGACCTCCAGGGTCCTCTAGGCTAACCACCTTATTTCACTGATGAGGCCCCCTCAAAGCTCCCAGCCTGCAAATTGTCAAGCCACCTGCAGATAGAGCTAGTTTTGGGTTCCTCTTGGATTCCCATAATCCAGCCTAGAATTGGCCACAGTCATTTTTTCATGTGAAGAAAATTCCTGTCTGGGATGACTTGACCTGGATACGGATTGTGTTTTTTAGGTAAAGTCTGGCTTCTTCCACGAGAGTGATTCCAAAGCAGTTGCCAAGTCCATTCGAGACCGGGTCGCTTTGATCAAGAAGACAAGGGAGAGGAAGCAGGCTGGCTTTGCAGGGGAAGAACGCCGGGATTCCCAGTGCAAGCCTCCGCAGCACAGCGCTTCTCAGCTGGCTGGGACCGAGTGTGAAGAGACCGAGGTGGATCAGCACGTTCGACAGCAGCTCCTTCAAAAACGACAGGCTCAGCCACATCACTGTCCTGCCTTGGTTCTTGGTATCTGTCAAGTCCAGTGACCCTGCCCCCTCCGTGTCCAAAGCTCGTGTCCTGGGGGCAGGGAGGGTGGTGGTGGCTGGGCACAGGTGACTCACTTTGTTCTACAAGTTGTCATTGAGGTCCAAGAAAGGGCCAGTTCCTGGTGGTCTTGTGTTGGGCTGTTGATCCCCGGTGTCAGAGGGGCCAGCCTTGAGGCTGCTCAGGCAACTTTGGATCCCCTGGAACCTTTTTCAAGAATTGCTTTATTTTATTGTGGGATCTGATCACCTCATCCACAGGTGTTGGGCTGAGAGCCCTGGATTCACATGATCATGAAGCATTAAGCACCAACTCTACACCCTGAATGTGCTAGGGATGCAAAAAATGGCCAAAGACAGGCCCTGTCTCAGTCAGAGAAGTGAGCTTCAGTTCTTGCCAGTTACACCTGCTAGCCATGTGACTTTGGGCAAATCATTTACCCTGTATCTTGCCCCTCCCCCCCACTTGTTGAACTCTCCCTGGTAACAAAAAGAGATGGAGAAAAGGAAAAGACAAGTTCTCCATTTTCTTCCCTCTTCTTGGCTCTGTGCCTCAGCAGTGGTGGTGGCGGCAGCAAGAGAGCTAAAGGCCCCAGCCCTCCATGGCTTGGGGAAGGTCACGGGCCAGATTAGGGTTAGAGCCAGAAATGCAAACTAGCCCAACCCCCAATTTTACAGTGGAGGAAATACCCATCAAGAGGGGAAGGGATGTAGCCCAGTTCACACTGGTTATAAGTGGCAGAGGCCGAGCTTTGGTTCCACCACGCTTCTCCAATGTTTAGAGAAAGCCAGAGCTGTGTCTGTGTATGAAGAGGGCAAAGTGTTCAAGTGGGTGCTTTCTTCCTCTTGGACTTCCCTAGCCTCCTTTGGGTACATGCGGGCTTTGTTGACTCCATGGTGACTTTGGGCATTGCCTGGCATCCAGAGCTGAAGTGGCCTTTGGAGGAATTAGAATGGAGTGGGGGTGGGCATGGTCATCTGATTTTGACAACCTACCCACAGTCAATCTTGTCGACTCATAGATCCCCAGGCGAGCCCAGTGAGAGGGAATTTTGCTAAATGTATGTGGCTATGTCTACTCCAAGGATGCCAGTCTCGGCTTCCTGTCACACCATTGGGAAAGATATGTCTGCAGAGTCAGGCTCCAGTTTGATCCTCATGTTGCCCACATGGGAAGAAACTTCTAGATTTGGCCTAACCCTAACTCACCACGAAGGGCTCTTATAGAATCATTTTTAGAGGGTTTATAGGTCTTTATGACTTCAGTAGAAAATTTCTCTCTTCTTATGTGCTGGAAGACATTGCTGTTTTCTCTCCATGCATGCCAGTTTTTTTTTTTCCCCACAGTTTCTTTCTCTTCTTCCCCTTCCCCTTCCCCTTCTCCTTTTCCTCCTCCTCCCCCCATCCTCTTTCCGTCTGCCTCCCTCCCCTAACCCTTCCCTCCCAGTATAGTGAGCTATGGGAGGCATTTAAAAGGTCAGAGGTTGGGGCAGCCAGGTGGCACAGTGGATAGAGCACCAGCCCTGGATTCAGGAGGACCTGAGTTCAAATCTGGCTTCAGACACATAACACTTACTAGCTGTGTGATCCTGGGCAAGTCACTTAACCCCACTGCCTAGCCCCCCCCCCAAAAAAAAGGTAAAAAGTCAGAAGTCAGACAAGTCATTTCTCCTCTCTGGGCCCTTGGTGTTTTTTTTTGCCTTTTGCTGAGGCGATCCAGGTTAAATGACTTTCCCAGGGTCACACAGCTAGTAAGTGTTAAGTGTCTGAGGCTGGATTTGAACTCAGGTCCTCCTGACTCCAAGGCCTCCACCTAGCTGCCCTAGGGCCCTGTTTTTTAGAGGAAGAGAGTGAAGCTGAGTGACAAGTGAAATGCCATAGCAATGTTGATAGAGCTAGGTATCCCTGATTGGACTCAGACCTAAGTTTCTCTTCATTCCAAGTCAAATGCCTCAGTTTCCTATTTTGTCAATTGAGAGAATTAGAAAAGGCAGCCTCTGAGCCCCGTTCCAGTTCCAGCTGCATGTGACGTCAAGGAGGAGAGGTAATGCTGCCAGCTACTCACCTGGTCACCCATTTCCAGGAAGGGAAGTATCTGGGTTAGGATTGGGCTCCTCATTTTACACATGGGGAATCTGAGACTCAGAATGGAAGTGACTTGTCCAAAGTCACGGAAGCACTTCACTCCCAGGGCAGGGGCCTGCCACAATGCCAAGGGGATCTCATGGCTCGTTTCAGATGAATCCTGTAGTGGCCTTGGCTTATGTCTGTGTGTGTGAGTGATCACCAGCTGCCGTCTTCATCTTCATGATACCTCACAGCTGGCATGTTTCTTTGCTGCAGCTGATGGTCTGCCTGAGGCAGGAGTTGGGGCAGTGAAGCATTCCGATTCTTCGAGTCAACACACCATGGCCTACTGTCCGGATCTGCCGGTGGTTCCTGCCAAAGCGTCTCACGTTCCCCAGGCCAAAGCCCAGCTTCCGGGGCACCTGTACCCGCCCCAGCAGCTGGTGGGACATTACCAGCAAATGCCAGGGGTGAGACTTATTCAGATGCTTGAACTTGTTTGAACTCTAGTCTCAGCGCTGACTGTGAATAGGAAAGTTGCTTTCAACATTGTTTTTAACCGTTTCTTTTGGAGTCAGGTCCAACAGCAAGCATGCCTTGCCCAGCCCCAGATGTTTCCACCAGTAGCTGTCCAGCAGTTCTCCCAGAGAATGGTAAGATTCCCTGGGCTGAGCAGCTCCCACTCTTGCACACAACACCTTCCTCGTGGGGCTGAGATGGACCATCAGTGTTGAAGACTCATTCTTGGGGTTCACTTTTCGAGCTTGGCTTGTCAGTGACTAATGCAGAAGACTTAGGACAGCTATCCCCAGGAGCAGCTCGCACTCCAGCCATACATTTCCCCCTTAGGTTCCCTCCTTGTCCCTGCTCCCCTCCAGCCATGATTCCCAGGCCCTTGGAAGCAGCCACTGAGTGCACAAGTTTTGTAGGTGCCTTGAGGAGGCTTCAGTCCTGGGCAAGCTGGAGCTCTGGGAGTCCTTCAAGTGGCTCCTTACTGTCTCCTTTGTTGAGTTTGATCAGCACTCCTGTCTCCTCCTCCCCCACTGGTATTGCTTCTCTTTGTCATTAGGAGTGATATCTTCCAGTGATTAAGTCATCCCTCTGTATCAAGTTCAGCTGAGGATTCGATGCTTATAGAAGTTGAGGCTCCCAGACATATCACATTGTGGGGGGGGGGGCGGATTGGTTTTGTACAATTGAAGGGAGGTCTTTAGCTTTGGGGCTTGAAGGTGGGCTTCAGAGAGACTCTGGCTTGTTTTGGATGTTGCCAAGTCAAGAGTGCCTTCTCCACTTTGCCCAAGTACCGTGAGTGTTGGGCCCATCTTCTTAGAGGGGAGAGACCCCAGTCAAGGCATGCACTGGGCACAGTGACTGTTCCATGTGGCTAGGCAGCTCCTGGAGAGAAACTTGTCAAGGGAATGGCAGGAACTACTGAAGTCCCGGTGAGTTTTCTGGCCTTTCACCTCCCAGATCCACTTTTTGGGCACATCCATCTCAAATAGCAAGAAACTGCAAAGAGGGAGGGAGAGGCAAGGTCCTATTGGACCCGTTGCGTCCCCTCTTGGATTTTTGGTCTGTGAAAGCTGTCACTTTACCTTGCTGGGGAGGTGGGGGCCATACCCCACTTCTGGAGTGGGAGAGGAGCTCAGATCCCAAGAACTTTTTGACTTAAATTTCCTTGAAATTCCTTAGGGAGATTTTGAGCCAGAAGATGTAGAAAACCAAAGCAATACATTGTAATCTTTGGTGTTCCACAGTGGGGGAATTTGAACTTCAAGGAAAACTGGGCTTAGTGATGATTTGTTTTTTAAAGTCCTCGGTGGCCAGGTCGGCCAGACATACTGGACTGGGCTTTATCTATGCATGTTCCTTACCCACCTTTTCCTTGTACCAGGAACCCCAACAGACCTTTGGAGCAGACAGACAGGCCTCAAATCTACTGACTTTGCCCTCTTCCCAGCACCCTGCAGCAGGCATCATGCTTGATCACAGCCCTCAGAATGGAAGTCGGATGGTGGGCCTGACACTGGACACTGAGCAGCCTTCGAGCTTCTTGTCAAATCCACCCCCTGCTCAGTATATGACTAGCACCCAGGGTGTTCTCAGGGCAGCCCAGCAACTCCCAGGCTCTCTGGCTCGCCATCCGGGAGCACAACTCACTGCCCCCCAGCTGCCTTTAGTGTCCCAAGCATACTCGGTGGTCCAGCAGGATTCTGGCCCTCTCTGTGCAGGGCCGAAGCCTCACTACTACCCGATGCCTTGCCCACTCCCCCCAGTGGCTCTGCTGATGAAGGCTGTGCAGCCAACCCAAGATGCTGGACTCCAGGAGTCTGATGCTCAGGGCGTCATGCAGCAGCCAGAAGGTGAGGGGAGAGGAGGCCTGATTTCGCTGGGTGAACAACAGCGCATCTTTGTGGTGAAGTCATCTGAGCAGCTGCCTTTCCCCAGCTATCCTGTGCAGCCTTCTTGTTTGATTCCAGCTCCAGAGCCTGTGCCACCCCAGGCTTACACTATCCCCCCACCTGCAGTGCGCTCCCTCTATTCAGCTTCACTTCCTGGACAGCCTGCAGCATATCATGCCCAGCCTTCTTACCTGGAGAAGCCAGCATATGTCATTCAAGGGACTTACACTGGGCAGCCTGCAGATCAGCCTCTTTACCCTGTCCTAGCCCCTGAGCCTTCTTCATATGCAGGGCAAGCAACTTCCTCCCTACAGGCCCCGGACCGGGTGACATACTTGGGCCACCAGGTGCACTCAGCCAGCTCTAACCCTGAGCAGCAAGCTCCAGATGAACAGCAGTCATATGGCATGCCGGCCTCAGAGCCCCAGGTGTGTCTAGGCCAGCCACCAGCCGTTCCTTTGGCTGTTCCGAAGGTGGATGTCAGTTTGGGGAATGAACAGCTCCGAGGTCCGCCTCCTTCACCAGCCATCGGCGCTCCGAGGGCCGGGGAAGGCCAATCACGTCCCTTCCCAAAGCAGCCTCTTCGCCTGAGTCCTTTTTCAGAGTCCACATTCACTCCACATCAGCAGGTAGTTCACTCTTCTCATCTACCAGCAGTGCCGCCCCATGAGCTACTGACTCCTGAAGTTTCTCAGAGTCAGCAGCAAGTCTCCTATGGCCAACCTGGCACCTTCCAGCAGCCGGCCCCCAGCCAGACCCAGCAAGCACCAGCTCTAGTCCCCCACTTGGCCACTGAGTGCAGTCAGATTCTGCCTTGCCAGAAGCAGCAGCCGCAGTGGCAGCCGCCGTTGAGCCCAGTGCCCGTCCCTGGGCCATTGGAATTGCAGCAGCAGCAGCAGGTGGCTCTTTACCAGACTTCAGGGGCAGCGCGTCCCAAACAGCCACCCCTGACTAGTCCAGCACAGGCCTCACTTCCCGCCCAGGGCATTCCTGTCTTGCAGGCCCAGCCACAGCATCAGGCTTTAAAAGGCCAAAATGTTCCAAAGGTAAATCTGGGGGGAAGATTCAGGGGGTTGGGGTGGGAATATTCTCTGCATGTTGAGAAGAGGATTGGCTTCTGGACAAGGTTCTCCTCGGCCCTCGCTTTCCTGCCCTTGGGTCTGGCCTCTGGCCTTCCGTCTTTTGGCGGACACTGTCCTCTGCTCCTAATGAGAAAGTCTTGCCACTCCTCAGTAACTTTCACGCCTTTGGGAGCTGGGCAGGATCCACACTTGCCCTCCTTGGTCTTGCCGCCTTGTTGCCACTTTAGCCAAATCTCTTCCTTTGCTGAGCTCTTCCTAGTTCCCTGAGGGTTTGAGAGGCTGGTGAGTGGGGGCCTTTGTATCAGAGGTAGGGTTTGTTGTGTGAGTTCTTTGATACTGAGCGTAGTTTTTCAGTGCTGCTTTGGATATTGGGGCGTGTTCTAGAAAATACCGTTTAAAAATGAAGAGGAATTTCTGCATTTGGTGGGGCCAGGACTGAGGAAGACTTGGGAGGTTGGGGTTTGGCCCTCTCCTTCAGGGAGAGCACTAGAGACTGGTTCTCATTTTTCTCTCTCACTGCTTTCCCAGTTCTGGTTTTACTGGCAATGGCCCTTGTGTTCAGAAGCTCGGCTCTAGCCCTGGCCTGGTGCACATTAAGAGAAAAAGCTTGAAGAGGGGCTGACCTGAGGCTATGGGAACTCCAGTGGGGGCGCTGGACTGTTCAGAGGCTTGGCGCTTGTGCTTTTGTCTCATGAGGGGAAGCTAAAGTTTCTAGATGGAGGCATTTGGGTCACTCTCATCCATCGTGTCCCAGATGGGGCTTCGTGTCTGGATTAAAAGAATATGTCGTGTTTTCATGGGGAAATCGAGGGGCTGGTCTCACCACCCCACCCCACCCCTGCCCCCTGCCACTGTGACAGGCATTGGATTAGACATGCTGGGTGTGGCAAGCCACTAGGGTTGTTCTGCATGCAGTGCTCTGTCCCTGTTTCTCTGAATGTGAGGACTTTGTGGTGGACCAGTATCCGTAGCTTCTCATTGGATTGCAGAGATGGCTCATTATTATTGGCCTTATTAGTGACAGTTCTCCCTTGCTAAGATCTGGCCTGTGGAACCCAACAGACTGACCCTGGACTCCCCAACACCAGAGCCTGGACTAGATTACAGATGTTTTACTCCTTTGGCCTGAACGAGATTCAAATGTCATTGGGAGATGTTTAACCAAATCAGTACAAAGACAGTATGACGCAGGTAATGTTCATTTGGTGGCCTGGATGCCACTGGGCTAGACAGATGAGCTCTGAGGTCCCTTCCATCTCCAATACTTCCAAAGGCTCATAACTGGATGTTTCTGCTGCTTTCCCAGCCAATCCCTGGGCTCTGAGGAGGTTACTGTATTAGGGGAGTGTGAGCCAATGGTGAGCTGAGTAGCTCTAGAATCACAGATGAGCAGCCTGGGGTTCCTGGCTCCTTGCTTGGTTTCTTGGGCGGCTTCTCTTTCTCATCTCCACTTTGATACTCGTTCTAAGACATGTGTGGACCTTACTCGGGTGAACACTTTCTGGAATGGTTGACAGATCTCATCACCTTTGAAATGCCAGGGGCAGGGGGGGTGGGGCATGAGTGTTTCAGGAATGAGGTTGAAGCTGCCCCAGCAGCCACCTGTCCCCTCAGACTGGCAGAGCCCAGTGGGGCTCACAGCACACATCTTTTGATCTTGCCACCCGCTGTATAACAAGCACCATTGGCAAATAGCTGGAATCACCTTAGAGACCATCTAATCCAACCCTTCACTTTACTTGGGGCGGGGGGGACTGAGACGTTTGCCAAGGGTCATGTGGCTAATAAATGTCAGAGGCAGGATTGGAACCTTGATCATCTACTTGATGACAAGCCCAGACCACTGAGCCATCTAGTTCCTTCAGTCTCCAGGAGACTTCTAGCAGGGAAGCTAAAGCTCAAGTGAGGCACCTGGTGGGTCTTTGAAGTAGCCTTCGCACCTGGGAAGTCTCTCAGCCACAGGTGCAGAGGTTGACTCCAGATTGGAGGCCCAGGTGTATTCTGAGTTGGTGTGTGCAGTGGGCTTGGGAGCACTCCCAGAGAGGACTCTCCCCTTGCTTTGTTCCTTGTTACATAGTGTCCGGATAAGGAGTTGGTTCCCAAAAAATTAATGTTCACCCTTCTTTTGCTGCCTCCCCTCGCCTAGCCAAGTGGGGTTTGAAGGGATGGGCTCCAGCCAGCAAGGGAGCAGTGTGAATGGGCAGACTGAGTAATCAGGACTGATGTCTGCAGTGGCTGGCATCTTCCAGTTTTCCTGCCTGGGTGGCAGAATTGGCACTTAGAGGCTGACCTTCCCCAGGAAGGCCAGTTTATTCCCTTTCTAAATGAAATAAGAGATTGGTCATTATGTGCCTTCTGTGGTTTTTCTGGGTTGGTTTAGAGGCTTTTTAGTTGGTCCCTAAGCCAGAGTTTCAGCTCACATTGTGCTTTGGGCCAGGGGAGAGATAGTCCCTTATGTCCTGAGGTGAGGTCAAGTCTTTTCCTCAGGACCCAAGCACAACCAAGGAATTGAGCTGATGGTGCCATTGGCTTTATTGAAGAAAGGTAATTTTCATGTAAAGATCAAACCCAGCCACAACTAGCAATGATAGCTAACTTAGAAGATGGCTAAAGATGGGAAAACAGAAGGATTGACTCAGTTGTTTAGATTGGATTAATGAGCAAATCCGGACTGGACAGCTGCTGACAAGGTCCTGGTGCAGACCAAAAGGTGAGAAAGTGTGAGGGATGGGGGGCTGTTTGGGCCTCAGCGGCAAAGGACTGACATTGAGTCTCTCTCCAAGGTGATAGGTGGCCATTTTTCTTCCTGCCTTTGTTGAGAAGAGGCCAAGGAGTGGATGTTCAGTCCCAGTCTTCCCTTGTTCCTTGAGGCCATGCTAAAGAAGACTCATGAGGCATTGGCCTGTGAGGATCTGTGTGGAGGGAGGCATGCGGTTCCCAGAGCTCCCTGAGGCCCCGTGGCTTTGCCACACCCCCTCCTCTCAGAGTTCCAGAAGAAAAAATGGTCCTTCTGGCAAGTCACATAAATGACTGATTACTTTGCTTTCTGATTTGTAAGTGGGACAGAGAAAGGAAGAAGATGACTGTGTTCCTGAAGACATTAAGCTTAGACGGAGTCAGGGTTTGAAGCAGGCTGCTCTTGCTTCCCACTTTGGCCTTCAGTCTAGATGTCTTTCAGTCTGGAAGGCCCTAGTCTAGGCTGTCATTTGAAAAAGGAGGAAAGTGAGGCTCAGAGGTACAGGGTCACACAGCGATCAGGAACGAGGTGAGCTGGACTTCAAAGCCAGCTCTTTGAACCTTAGACTCCAGGGCCTCCAGTAGGGACTTAGCACATACAGGAAGGAGCCCCCTCCCCTTTCCCATGCTTTCCCAGACAGAGAGCGCCTTTCCCAGGAGAGTTGGGTTTCTAATGACCTGTCTGTGCCACAGCATCAGTATGCCTATGTGGAGAAGGGAGACATTTTGTCACAGATAAGCAAGTAGGAATATTTTCAGAGTTGAAAAAAAGTTGTTAAAGGAAGAATTGCATTGCTTCCTCCTTCACAAACCTTGGCCCAGAGGAAGCTTTTGGAAACTGTCCAGCAGGTGCTCAAAGTCTAGCCAGCCAGCCTGGGGTTTTAGAGATCAGTAGAGGAACTTGGGTAATGGCTGCAAGGATCGGTCCTTCTTCCTATGGACTTGGGCTGGATGCCCCCGCTGGCAGCTTTTCCCAGGCAGTTGGGGCTGAGGATGATCAGCCCAGAAGTCATTTCACTGGGGAGGAGTCTGGGCTCTTCTGATCCCAAGGCTGCATGGCCTCATTCTTGGTTAGGGTTTCAACTCTTAGGCATGAGGGCATCAGAATAACAGTGTGGCTTCATCTAGAGCTTTGTGGTTCCCAAATGCTTTTCCTCCCCCAAAAGATTGATAGGTTAGGAAACCGGGATTGAGAGCGGTGAAGGGAGCAGCCCAGCTCCCAGAGCAGGGGCTGTTGGAGTCAGGGCTCACTGCATTGGGACAGCCTCTTGCTGCCTGGGGTCAGGGAGATCCAGGGGCTGCACAGAGATGCCCAGATGTCCACATTCATTTCCTTTCTTTTCGCTTTCAAACTCCACGACCAGATCTGGATACTTTACAGATGGAGAACAAAGAGAAGTTTCCTTTCCATAGGCCGTGTGGTGCAGATTGCTTGGCAAGCATTTGGTCAAGTTCAGTAGTGCCCAGCAGTATTGCTCTTCTAGGCTCAGAAATTGTCATGAAGCGGGGGTGGGGACTGGGGGAATACCTCGAATTCTAGCTGTTTTTCTGACAAGTTGTATTCCAACAGAGCGCACAGCCTGGATCCCAGCCACCAGTAGGAGACCTACAAACAGCCCTTTCAAAGGCAGATTTAGTCCGAAGGTGAGTGTGAACCAGTGAATTCCCTGAGAACAAAAGACGTGTGTGCTGTGGACCATTGAAAAGAGATTGATCCGGTGTTACCTTCACTGTTTCTCTTAGGTGGCCCCAGTAAGAACCATGCGTGCTTAGGCATCCTGCCCTGGTTAGCTCGGCCCAGTCTGGAATCGTTGCTGACCCTCTGAGCGCACTGTCTCTGTTTTTGTCAGAAGAGTGTTTTGCAAAGTAGGGAGCTTGGTTTAAAAAAGCATTGGAAGCAATTGCGAGAGCTCCCTAGGGCCTAGCATTCCTAACCAAGTCAAGTGTAGAGCAGGCTTTCAGCCGGGCGCCCTGTCTTCATGAGGCCTTGCAGACTGACGGGGCTGCTTGACCAAACTCGTTGGCCTAACCTGGGCTGGTGGACTTGGGCACGCTCAGTGTTTTCTTTGTTTTTCATGTTCCGTGATGACCTCAGTTAATAACCATTTATGACTTAATGACAAATTAAGTATAATTCTTTTTTCCTCGTTTATTTTTTGTCGTTGTTGTTGCTCTATTTTCTTTCTTTTTAAAAATTCCATCTTCATTCCCATTCCAAATTATCTCTTTTGTCCCCTCCCCCTCTCTGACCCATTGCAAAACATGTGTAGGGTTGAGACGGGTGACCCCATTAGCCATGTCCCCAAAAAAGGAAGAAAGAGAAAGAGGGACGACAACGTACGTCAGCCTGTCTGGAGTTGGGGCGCAGTTTCTGTCATGACTTAGGGAAACTTTTTAACTGACCTGCAGGAGAGGTTGTCCACATCCATTAGCTGCTCACTTGGAATGTATTTCACGGGAATCCCCACTATCCCTAGGAAGCCCAGACAACCCCAGCAAAAGATCATGTTCCTCCTTCCCTGCCCCTTCTCAGCAGCTGAAGTACTGGCTTCTCCTGACGTCCACTTTTGCCCTCTCCTGCTCTGGGGGCTCTGACTTTTTTCTCCAGGGTCTTCTGGGCAACCTAGTCACATCTGCTCCGGGGACAAAACCTTTTTTGGGGTAAAAACCATTTCCTTGGTGGAAAAGTACCTAGCGTCCTTATTCTTTGGAGCTTATATAACGTACTGAGGATTTCCAAGTCACTCCCTTATGTCTTCCTCAGTCCATCTCGGCTCCTCTGGTGTTGGGAGCACGGGGGGAGGTATCAGATTTCCATTCCCCTCTCCAGTCCAGCCTCCCATCAGCTACCCAAGTTATCTTCCTAAAGCACCTGCTCATGTCACCGCCTTGCTCAGTGAGCTCTGGGACTTCCTCCCCTCTGAGCCCCAGGTTCAAATATAAACTCTTCTGTTCGTCCCTCTTTGGCCATCACTCTCCTTCCCACATTCTCCCTCCAGCCCAACTGCCCTTTCCTGTCCACCTCACACATGCTGTTGTATCTCATGCATTTGTACTAGCATTTTCCCCCTCTGTACCCCCACCTGCCTACCTGCCCCTGAGTCCCTGGCTCCTTTTCACTTCTAGTCCAACTACCACCTTGTCCCCAAAGCCTTTCCTGATTTTTCCTGTCAAATGACCTTTTCTGTCAGTATGTCTGTCTGTCTGTGTGTGTGTGTGTGTGTGTGTGTGTCTGTATGTCTGTATCTGTCTTTCTTTGTCTGTCTGAGTGTCCATATGTGTGTCTGTCTGTCTGTGTCTGTCTCTGGATGCTGTTTACTCAAGTAGAAGGCCAGTGCCTTGAGAGCAGGCCTTGCTTCACAAAGTCTGCCTTTCTATCTCCAGCAGCCTGGCCAATGCCTGGCACAGAGTAGACCTCCTTGAAAGTAACTGTCCACCCCCTTTCAGTTCACTAGTTCCCCCCTTAGCCATTGAGGAAGGGAGTTCCTTTCCATATAGTCATTCCACCTGTTATCTTCCAGTTCAGGCCACATGGCTCCCCCTTTGGTCAGTTTCCTAGCATGGGCAGGTTCCCTGAGCTCATCTTGCTTGGATTCTCTGGCTTTGCACTTCCTCATTTCTCTCCATGACTTTTTCCTTCTCATTCCTGCTCCCAGCTCACATTCCTAGGTTTCCCACCCCAGCTGGCCCAAGTTGAACAACATAGCCAGCCCCTACATTGGCCAGACAGGCAGGCACATGACTAATCTCAGGGCTTTCCATTTGGGGCTGGCTTCTCAAAGCATCTCCCAAGGACCCTTCTGCTGCCGAGTGCCTTCTCTCTTTCATGGCCGCAGATATTATTTTCCTTTTCAAGACTACTCACCCCTACCTCACTCCCTTGCCCCCAGGAAGTCCCTCACAAGACAAGGTTGTCCACCCTTAGAACGACTTGCTTACTTTGAGCGCCTTCCTAAAGCTTTGTCCTTGCCATGATTGATGAAGGGGGGAATATGGCTCTTTCACCTCAGATCTGATACAGGAAGGTAGGCACAACCTTCCAAGTGGGGCAGCTGCTTCCTTTGTTAATTACCACTGGTTTGAGCTTGGCCTTTGCTGGAGACTGTTGTCTGCTCTCAGAGATTTGATGGCAGTTCTGTTTTGTGCTTCTTAGCACTGGTGCTGATGGAGCAGCATTGAAGGATGGGACTGGTGGGTTTGAGAACCTTGCTGGCAATGGGAAACAGGATCGGATGAAGCAGAGGAGGGCATCGTGTCCTCGGCCGGAGAAGGGGCCCAGATTTCAACTGACTGTCCTCCAGGTACAACTACATCTGAGTGCTTGTTTCAGTTTGAAGTCAGAGAGGGTAACTTGTGGGGGATGGAATGGTGAAGCTTTTCAGCAGCTAGCTACAGCTCTCATCCTTGTCATATTCCTCAGATTTTCCTGTGAAAGGACTAGAGTTAGGGGAGAAAAGGGTAGAAAGCATCCAGTTTAATTTCTGTTATGATGATGATGATGCTTTCAGTGAACACCTCCCAGTGGCCACAGAGAAGATCCAGATCTTGAGGGGCAGAAATGACATCATGACTATTGCAAAGACTTGGCTGTGGCCCCTTCTGTGCTGTCTGATCCTCAATGTTTTTTTGACAGTCTTTTATTTCTTTCCATTTGCATCTTTATCACTTGCCTATCTACTCCTAACTGCCCCCCCCAATAACATAGCCTTTCCTTGTGACCCATAAGTACAGGCCAGTAAAATGGGGCCGCGCACTGGCACCCCCAGCCCAGGAAGCAGCTGCCCCACTTCATCCTCAGGCCTCTCATTGTCTCGATTAGAGTTCTTCAGCCTTTGCTGCCCCCCTCCAGACAGTTACCTCATCTAGAAAACCCGACTTTTAACATCTCCCTCCTGCAGGACTGTTGAATCTTTGTCAAATGCCAGCTCTTATAGATTCCTTTCAATTCTCCGTAGATTTGGTATGTCAGATTTAGACATCAGAAATATTTAGCAGGACTGGGTAAAAAAATAGAAAAAGAAATAAGTGGACTAGATTAGCTGAGCCCAGCCTAGAAGCCAGGGTACCCATGGCAGCCATGTTAAGGGTACCCTACCCATCGTGGGCCTGCATGACAGCCAGAAGCTGGCATCCTGGAATAATTCTCTTCGAAGCCTCGATGTAGTGTTTCCTGCTTTCTAGCGAAGTTGGGTATGAACTTGGCCCCTTTCTCCCCTATTGAGGCAATCATGAATTTCTGCAATCCAAAGGGATCTAGAATAGGGTTGCATTGAAGCTTTAAAGTGTTGGGGTGATGGTCAGTGATCTTGCAGGGGGGCTGGGGGGGATGACTCTTCTGCAGGCTTGAATCTAGGCCTCAGGACCTTGAACTGAGTGCTGAGTCATGAGTCTGATGTTGGAATTCATTGTGTTCTGTTTGCAAAGAAGGGAAGAAGCCTGTGCAATCTAGTTATGCTCTCTTCTTACTTAGGTTTCAATGTTCGGCGACAACATGGTGGAGTGTCAGCTGGAGACTCATAATAACAAGATGGTCACTTTCAAATTTGATGTGGATGGAGATGCTCCCGAGGACATCGCCAACTACATGGTAGCATCTCCTTTTGAGTTACTGTTGTTTGCTTGTGCTCAGGGTTTGGGAGGTCACAAAGAAGTGGGAACCTCTGTACTTGGAACTAGTGTAAATGAACTGTGCGTTTTGAAAAACTCTTGGCTTTTTTGTCGCTATCTTTTGGTTTTTTACATCACCAGAATTTTTCCCATTATCTCCCCTGGCCCCTGCCCCCTCCCCCCCAGCCCAATCTTTATACCAACATTTTTTAAAGAAAGATCAGGACAGTAAGGACAGGGAAGGAAAAAAAAAATGAAATGAAAAGAATCAACATAGCAAAAAAGCCTGGCAGATATCTGGCCTGTTCCATGCCCGTGACCTCTCAGCTCTTCGGGGTGGGTGTGGGGTGAGAGTTCTGTCTCCTCCTCTCTTTTCTTGGGGCTGAGCTTGCTCTTTGAAGTTTTGTTTTGGGTCGTTTTGTGGCTGTTCTTGCCATAGATGGCACTGCATCAGTTCATGTGGAGCCTCCCTGCTTCTTGGCATCCACCATACTCATTTCTGGTGGCATAGGAATAGCTGTTCCCGAATCGATGACCAACTACTTTGTTTCCAATTCTTAGCTACCATAAAAAGGGGGGGAGGAAAAGGGAAGGAAACAGGTACTCAATGAAGTGCCTGCAATATGCCAGGCACAGTGCTGAGCACTTTTACAATTACTGTCTCACTTGATCCTCACAACAACCCTGGGATGGGAGGTGCTGTTATGATCCCATTTTACAGTTGAAGAAACTGAGGCAGACAGAGGTGAAATGACTTGCTCAGGGTCACCCAGGAAGTATCTAAGGCAGAATTTAGACCCAGTTCTTCCTGATGCCAGCTCCAGTGCCCTATCCACTGTACCAGCTAGCTATTCCAAAAAGGATGCATATGGGAACTTTCTTCTTTATCAGGACCTTCCTGGTACATAAGCCTCGTAGTGGAATCTCTGGATCACAGGGTAGGAACATTTTAGTCACTTGATTTGCATAGTTCCAGATTGTTTTTTCAGAACAGTTATATTGCTTCACAGCTCCACCAACAGTGTACCAGTGCGCTTGTCTTCACACAACCCCTCCAACATTGATTATTTCCATCTTTTGTCATCTTTATGCAGCACAGATTCCAAGCAGACATCAGAGAATAATGTTTTTAGTCACTTTGTGTGTAACTTATATTTCCGAGGTAGCTGAGCTTTTAACTTACCTTTCATTCCACTGCAGTACCTAGAACCCATAATGCATTGAGGAAGCAGGTCTTTGTTGATCTTGATTGGAATGTGGAAGTGTACCACGTTCTCCCAGCGTAGTTTTGCAAAGACTTCATTGGCCCCATTCAATTCCTTCTTACGTGACTGTCAGAAAAGGAGGGGAGCTTGTATGCTGTTCCTCTTGTCAGTTTCGGGGGAGAGAGAAGATATGACTTTCTTTGGATTTTCCTCGTGCTCCAATTTGTCTGCCCCTCGTGGAACTGTGTGCACTTTACCTGTCTTCTTGCCTTCCTGAGAAAAATTTTCTTCTCAATCTGGCTCTGCTTTCTTTTCATACTGATTTATACAGTAGTCTCCCTCACACAGTCTACACTGCAGCAAAAATTGCTTCCTGGTGTTATCTCCTTACATGCCCTTCATCACCTGCCTCCGTGCCTTTGCCTAGGCTTTCTTTCCCCTCCTTGGAAGGCTGTCCCTCTTTTCTTCTGCCTTTTGGAACCCCAGCCTCCCTTCAGGCTTCAGGTGCCCCTTCCTATAGGAGACCTTCCATGGCTTCCTCCAGTCCCTTTGTCTGTGTCTTATGTGTGTACTTTCTTGTGAGCCTGATGTAAGCCCCTACTAGCGTGGCAGCTCCTGAAAGTCAAGAGGTCCAACCTGCTTGTTCTTGGCCAAGTTCAGTGCTCTGTCCTTTGTGGGACCTGACATAAGGCGAGAATGTCATTCTTGAATGGGGACTTATTTCTTGGCAGGTTGAAGATAACTTTGTGCTAGAGTGTGAGAAGGGGAAGTTTGTGGAAGAATTGCAGGTGGTTGTATGCCGTGCCCAGGAGATCCTTTGCACCCTCCCTGGTGGGGAGTCGGCTTCATCAGAATCCAGCAGCTGTCAAGTAAGAGCTGTTTAGGAAATTGTGTCGATGTGTGGGTGTGGGTGGATGTCAGTTGTATGTATGAGTGTTTGAGTGTGTGGGGGGGGTATTGTGTATGGGTGTGACCGTGGCTTTGTGGTTGTGTGGATGTGAGTGTATGTATATTGAGCGTGTGGGTGTTGCGTGTATATGGGAATGAGTGTCTATATGTGAGTGGCTGTGTTGAATGTAGATGTGGGTATGTGAGCTGTCTATGTGAGTGTTCCTGCGTAGGTATGTGAGTGAGGGTGTGGGAGTTTTGTATGTGAGTGGGTGTGTTGAGTGTGTATTAATTGTATGACTGTAAATGTGTATTGAGTATGTGTGTTAGTTGTGTGAATTTGAGTGTGTATTGAGTGGGGGTGTTTGAGTTGTGTATGTGAGTATGTTTTGTGTGTGGGTAGTGGGGGTTGTGTGAATGTGTTTATTGTGGGTGGGGGTGCGCAGTGTGGATGAGTGTGGATGTAAGTGTGTGGCCGTTGTGTGGGGTTGCTGTGTAGAAAAGGTCTTACTCTGTTTCTTTGTCATTCAGACAGGATCAGTCGAACAAGCACAGATGAATTCTGCGCTCGCTCAAGGCTGCAGTGAGTACCTGGAGTCTGTTTGCCAATTGGCATGATTTTGCCCCAATTCCCAGAAAAGGTGTTTGTAAGGAAGGGAACGTGACTGTTAGTAAAACTCCCCTGCCATTTCCAAAGGACCCGTCTAGGGCCCACGAGGAAAAAAAGCGAGGCTGTGTGTCCCCCACTAGTTTTCACTCTGATCACATGCACGCTCATTTTTCAAATCGCCTTTCCTTTCCTTGCTTAGGCTTCTTCCAGCGACCGTGGTATCTGGTCCCATGCTTGCCGATTGAAAGATGATGCAGAAACTAGCGAATCATTCATTTGGGGGGATCTCAAACCTGGCTCACTTGGCTCTCTTCCTTGGTTTCTTGCCTTTTGCTGCACACTTTGGGGGAGGGGCAGAAATGGAAATGTGCCAGGTGTGGGACCCATGGGACACGTGATCTGAGGCTCTGCTTTTGTGTGATAGGGTACCTCCATTCGGTGGGCAAGCAGGCTTGGGGTGTGTTGGTTGTTGTGACTAAGCCGGAGTGCACAGAGAGGTTTTAAAGGAGAAACTCAGAAGAGCCTGGCCAGTGGTAACTTTTGTTCTTCTAGCACGTTGCAAGCTGACGAGAGGTGGCTTTGTGTTTGCCACATCAGACTCCTTGTAGTCAATTGTACGTGCCCGACTACTGCGAAAAATCCATGTTTAGAGCCAATTGCCTTAGCCCACAAGGTCAGAAAGCTTCCCTGGGAATTTAATGTGTTTGTGTCATTTTTTCTGCAGCTGACTCTGCTCCTCAGTCCTCCCCAGTTGGTCGCTGGAGGTTCTGTATCAATCAGACCACACGCAATCGTGAGCCCCTGAGCCTTCCTGAGTCACAACTCTTTGCTGGTAAGCTTTCGTTCTCTAGCTGGCTTTCTCCACCAGACTCTTTCAGGTTCTCCTGGCCCCAGCATCCTCTTGTTAGGACTTGGTGCTAGGCCCTGGTGTCAAAAAGGGGCAGAGAAACAAAACCAAGCACTGGGAGCAGCCGAGGTTGGGGCTCATGATCCTTCAGGTTTGGCTGCCAGGTAAAATTTGCTTGGAGTAACCTTGGGTTTGCCTTGGATTTATACCCCACTTTTCTTCTTTTGCAATGACTCTCCAAAGATTTAAAAGACAAAAAAGCTTCACAAGGTTAGAGTTAGATGCCTAAACTGGGTGGAAGCCTCTGTTGACTCATGGTTCACTTTGTGACCCTGGGTCCTTCTCTTCATCACTTTCTCATCAGCTTCTCCTATCATCATTTCATGTTTAGACGATCTCAGCATAATCTCTTGCAAACATAAAACTCTTGACCGTGAAGTTGCCTCTGTGACTTCCCTTCTTAGAGTGGCCTCAGTTTTCTCCTCCATAAGGCTGAGAATGTTAGAAGAATGGCGGTCTGTTGATCTGAAGCTTGGCAGGCAGGGGAGGGCAGTTGAATTCAGCAGTGTGATCGACAAAGAATGTTTCATGATTAGAAGCACAAAGGCAGAGCTCCCAGGCTCTCCACCTTCTTTCTTTCCTGTGGCTGGAAACGCTTCATCCTCTGGTGGCCAAGGCTTTTGAAATGAGCTTCTCTGAACTGACATGGGCTGGACACTGGACACTGTCTAATCCAACAAACTCTTATTAAACACCTTCTGTATACAGGCTATTGTTCTGGGCACTGTGGAAACAAAGAAAAAGTGAAACACAGTCTCTTTCTTCCAGGAGCTCCCAGTCTAATGCAGAGCCTAGATACAAAGAGGAAAAGGCACTGGGGTATGGGTGGGGGTGGGACTGGGGGCTTGGCACTACACTAGAGAGGCCTTTTTGCAGTAGGTGGGTCTTGAGGGAAACCTGTAGGTGCAGTTGGGGAGTGAGGGCAGCCCAAGCATGCGAGAGAGCCCGAGAAAATGCCTAGAGCTGAAAGAGGTAGGGTCTTGTTCATGGAATAGCCATGAGGACAGTGTCACTGGATCAAAGAGTTACACTGGTGGGGAGTGAGGTGTAAGAAGACTGGAGAAGGGAGGAGGGGGCAGGTGCTGAAGGACTTTGAATGACAAACAGGCCATAGGGAACCTTGGGAGGTTATTGAGCAGAGTGGTGACGTGGTCCGACCTGTGCTTTGGGAAGGTGACTTCAGAGGATGGCTGGAGTGGAGAGAGACTGAGGCAGGCAGAGCTTCCAGCTATCAGGACTTCTAGTCAAGATGACTGCTTGAATGGAGGCGGACTGCTTTAGAGAGTTAGAGTTGGGGTCAGAGGCATTTAGGATTACAGCAAAGCCCTGAAATTCACCGAAGACCAAATATAGATCCAAAACTCCTGTGAGAAACCACAGTAAATAGTTGGGCAGGTAGATGGGGAAGTGGCTAGAGCTTTGGACTTGGAGTCAAGAGTCTTCCTATAGAGGCTAACTGTGTGAACCAGGGCAAGTCACTTCACTTCTCTCAGCCTCAGTTTCCCCATCTATAAAATGGGAATAATATTAGTACCTCCCTTACAAGGTTGTTGTGTAACTCAAATGCGTTAAGTACTTAAGGTGCCATATAATATACACTGGTTACCTAGCTGGCTAATGACTCCTTCCACCCCAGAACGGCACAAGAGGCCAGCCAGAAGGAACTAAAGCTAGAGAGATGAGGGGATCAAAGAAGACACTGAGCATGGCAGATCAAGAGGACCCCTGAAGGAAAGAATAACTCCCCACCAACTGCAAGCAGACACAAAGGGAAAGAAGGGGGTTTTCCACAAGGACTGCATGAATACCTAAGAGAAACGAAGGGAGTGAGAAAAAGGGAAATGAAACAAACAAAAAGCTCTGGAGGAAAGAATTGGAAGGAGAATAAGCAGTTTGCAGGAGGATGTGGACAACGTACTCCAAAGAACAAAGTCCCTGCAAACCAGAATGCCTTTAGGGTTCAAAGAGAAATCAGCAACTCCAGGAGATGACAAGTAGTTGTTGGAACAAAGTCAGAAGTTGAAAAAAGAGAAGAACATGTGAGGTCTCTGCCGCCAAAACTGACCTCCAAGACAGGGCAAGGGGAGAGAATTTGAGAGTGTTTTGCATTCCCTGAAAACCACTATTCAAAAACCAAAAGTCTGGAGCTTCTAGTTCAAAATAAAATAGATAAATAAAAACCACCCAGGTCTCTTTTTAATCCAGGGGGCAAAATGAAGGCAGAAAGAACCCACCGATTACCTCCTAAACTCAGTTCCGACAGGGAAAGGCCCAGGAATGTCACAGTAATTATCCAGAGCTTCCACAACAAAGACAAAATCCTGCAAGCACCCAGAACCAGGGAAATACAGTCAGGATCACTGACAAGCTGGACTATAAACCAACACTGTATGCCAAGAAGGGACCCTGGCATACCACACCCCAAAGGCAAAAGGTACGACCTACGACAGCTTACAGCAAAGAAGGACTCATCCAGCAAAGCTGAGTTATCTTCCTAGAGGGGGAAAGATGGAGCTTGAAAGGAAGAGAGGAATGTCAAGCATTCCTGATGAAAAGACCAGAGCTGAGGAAGAAGAAACTCTGAAATGCAAATGCAGAGTCCAGAGAAACTCAGAAAGGAAAATTTCTCTGAGTAATTCTCTGAGTATGATGAGGTTGGGCTAACACTCTACCAGGGGAGAAGAAACCAGGATCCTTTTGGCCCTTGGATATCTTCAAAGGGTACTGAGGGAGTGGAATGAGAAAAATGGAGGCCCTGAGGAGGCACAGGGAGGGGAGGAGGACAAAGACACTCATGTGGAGGGAGGAAGAAGAAGGGTGGAGGGACTTGCTATCTGTCCTGATTGGAGTGCATGGAAAGAAGAGTATAGGATAGAAACAGGTAGGAGGAGCCGGGGTGGGGGGTGGGGGGTACTGAGCACCAGAGGAAGCTCACTCTTCTCTGAAACAGACCAAGGAAGTGGACAGTCAGGTGCAGAAATATGCCCAACTCATATGCGGGGACACATTCGCAGACTGGGGAGCAGGGGGTTAGGAAGATGAAAACTAAGCCCTTGACCCTGAAGCAGCAATAAAAAGGACCAAGGAAAAAGCCAAGTCCTAGGAACCAAACTTCGGTGTAGGAATGTCATTGCTGGAAGAAAAGACAGGGCTGATTTCAGAGAATCCTGGGAACACATGTAAGGAGTGGGCAGAGTGAAGTGAGCAGAACCAGGAGAACCCTTTCTACAAGACTGGCCACATGCTAAAGCCCAACCACTCTGAAAGACTAACAAATTCTGACCAATGCCATGTCTCCAGAGGACTGATGATGAATTGGGTCACCCGTCTCTTGCCAGAGAAATGATGGGCTCAGGATGCAGAAAAACACTTGCTATATTTGTGTGTGGGTTCAGTTTGCTTGGTTCTGCTTATTTGTTACAAGGAGTTTTTTTCCCTTGTGGTTTTTTTCATTGGGAGGGGGTGGGATGCAGGGGAGGGGGGGAGGGTTTGCACTAGTGATTCCTTCCAAAAAAAGAGGGCCATAGAGAGCATTTTACAAAAGGAACAGAAGAGAAAAGAAAATTCAACAGGGAGCACAGACAAGCTGGACAGTTTTGAAAGTAATGTGTAGAGGGGCAGCTAGGTGGCGCAGTGGGTAGAGCACCGGGCCTAGAGTCAGGAGGACCTGAGTTTAAATCTGACCTCAGACCAGACACTTGACACTTACTAGCTGTGTGACCCTGGAAAAGTCACTTAACCCCAATTGCTTCACTAAAGGGGGAGGGGGAGTAACGTGCAGGATTTATTATTTACTTTTTTTTAAAGTTTGGTACGAAATGGAGATTCATTGTGTCATATAGAACCCTAATTCTTTTATGTTCTGCTGTGCATATGGAAATGCTCTTTTTTTGGTGTTTAAGTTCAAAATGAAAAAAATTATTATTAGGAATGATTGCTTCCATTCATTTGGTAAAGGTTTTGTTCTCTCCATAATTGAGATGGATGGTTCCCTTTTTTTTCTTGTTTTGTGATATGAGTACCAACAAGTTTATAGTTTATCAATCCAGACCGCGGATCATTGTTTTAGGATTAGGGTTAGAGAGCCCATTTTAAAAAAAAACTTAATAGTATTTTATTATGTTTCCAATTACATGTAAAGGTAGTTTTCAACATTATTTTTGTAAGATTTTGAGTTCCAAATTTTTCTTCCTCCCTCCCTCCTTCCCAAGACAGTAAACAATCTGGTATAGGCTATACATGGGCAATCATGTGAACGTGTACCCACGTTAGTCATGTTGTGAAAGAGTGCTCAGTTTTTTTATTGCTGTTTTGCTTTCTAATTTTCCCTACCATTTTTTTGAATGAGAATTCCTTGTCCCAGTGTAATATAATATTGAGTTTATCAAGCAGTGAACTTCTCAGTTGGGTTCTCTTTCCAGATCTCTGATCGTTTTTTCCCTGTTTTTTATTCAAACCTTTGAAATTCTCAGTCTGGACAGACTAGTTCGTAACATCTCTTTTTTTTTTGCATGTCCTGCCTGCCCCCTGCAGCTGTTTCCATGGGGCTGGTTGGCACCTTAGAGACCAGAGTCCCAAGCTGTGGCCATGTTGCCTTTTTTCTAGTTGTTGAGGCATACTTCCAGGGCTGTGTCAGAAGCTTCCAAAATTTCTTCTTTGGGGTCCCAGGCCTGAAAAACTGTTGCTTTTCTGCATATAAGCATATCAAGAAATGATTGAGCCCCAACTTCCTGGTAATTTAAAAGAATAAAACCACTTTCATTAAAGTGCTGATGCTAAGCACCCCCACATTTTTGGCCCTCTTTATACAACTAGCAACGAGGACATTTAGTTGGGGTTGGAAGGCAGCAGTACTGGATGGTGGGGGTATTTCCTTCATTCATGGGATCTCTTTTGACTACTCTGTGAAATTGTTGTAAAACCTTGTGCCAAGGAAGGTGGGAGAGGAGTCTCAATAGGGTCTAAATTGTAACCTTGGAGGTCAAATGGGTTGTTGGGTTTTTTATTTTGAAAGTCCCCCCAGATTGTTCTCCTTGTGATGGAGAGGGTGTGTACGAAGCGTGGCACAGCTTTAACTCCTTATCTAACCTTTTCTTCCTGTTCTAGATTTGGGGAATACTAGCAACAAAAAACTCTCCGCGCAGGACACGCTTCTCATTGTGGCCAGCAGCCCACCCCAGGGTGAGCTTTTGGCACCCACACCAGAGCCCAAGGATTCAGCAGATGGTAAGACTTCTGAATGTGCTGGTCCTGAAACTGAACAGCTAGCCCGTCCTCATCAGGCGGAAGAGAGCAAGATGCCAGTGGTCCATTCTGCAGGGAGTTCACAGGGCCCCGCTGTTTCAGTACATCCTGCTTACATTGAGTTTGGGGAGTCCATCAGCCGAGTCCCTGGCACACGTCTACCTGCGTATCCAGGACGCCAAGCTGAGGAGCACCTGACTTTAGGTGTTTCCCACCCTGGAGAGTCAACTGCATTCGCCGAGAGCTCAGTTCCACTACAGGTGTGTGTGTCTGAGCCAAGCCCTCAGTCCTCCTCAGTGCAGTGGCCACCTGGGTGTGGCACCTTGGCCTCTCAAGAGGGGGCAGCTGCCATGTGCATGGAGGCTGCTTCTGCCCCTCAGTTGGTAACACTTGCTCAGAGCCCAGGCCTTGATCCAACCCCTCTTCATTCCTCCTCGGTGCCTGAGGGAGATGGTGAAAGACCTCCAAAATTAGAATTTGTAGACAACCGCATTAAAACCTTGGATGAAAAATTAAGAAACTTGCTGTATCAAGAGCACAGCACATCTGGTCTCTGCCCCGAGAGTCAGAAGGACGCCACAAACCTAGAGTCTCCATTTTCCTCTTCCTCCTCGGCCGAGGAGACGCTCTGTGGCCCTGGGCCCGAAGTTCTGGGTGTGGGGTATCGCCGGAGCCAGGGCAGCCTTGCACAGCGGGCCAGTGCACAGCAGGCCAAGTCTGAGCTTCTGTCTCTCCCTGCTGTGGCTCAGCCTGCTCATGTAGCCGTGCTCAAAAGGGAGCCAGTCAGTGTGACCACCTCGGTATCCAGTGAGTTGGGTTTGCATGTAAGTATCTCTTCTTCTTCCCTCAGAGGGCAAAGTGGCCTGGGCCAAAGGAGTGGGAGCTGAGACTTGGCCAGTATAGGTTCTCCCCCGACCGATGGCGCTCATAGCCCCTGTGATGGAAAAATCCCCCACCTTGCCACCAACCTGAATTCAGTTCAGCTGGCTGGGGGACAACAGCCAGTGTGTCAGTCAGATCCCAGGTCTGCCAGGGCATGGCCTTTGATACTTCTTGATCACTTCCAGGCCACAGTCAGGTGGCTGAAGTTGGGGCTGGGCGGAGGAAGCCCTCTAGTGAACTGAGTGATCCTGGGCTGGGGTCAGAGGGAGATGGGCGCTTTTTTCTTAGGGGAGCAGACATACCACCGTACTGTTTGGAGTTGAAAGGGGCCTCAGAAACTCAGAAGCCATCTGGTCTGTCCCTAAGAATAGAGCTTCCCAAGATCCCACAGATAGGAAGGAGTACGAAGCAAGAAGCCAGAAACCATCTCCAGGGCTGGTTCACAGGCCACAGTACTCAGCCGCTCAGGACAGCCCCTCAGCGTACCTAACACAGTGGTCTGGCTTTGTTAGGGTCGACGGGCAGGAAAACCCCAAACCTATTCTCCTATTCCTCTTGGGAGAGTTTCCCTCCAGCCAGAAAGGCTTTGTGCCTCTTGGCATCTCATGGGGCTGCTGAGTTTCTCCGATCCCAAGCCATCTTCCTCTTCCACTCCCTGTCACAAGCCTCCTTTCTGAGTATGTGCCAGTAGCTAATGTTCTTTGGGAGGAGATTCCAAAGTAGCCTGGAGTGAACTAGAAGGGACCTCGCACTGTCTTACACTCCCTTGTCAGCCTCAAACGGTGTGTCACTCCACCGTGGCCCATCCCCAGCGGCCAGCTCTCCTTAGAGTAATGTGTTGACTTGGTTTTCTGGGCACCCTAGAGGAAGACCCATGTTCTGCTTCCAGTGTTGGCCTTTGCTCAGGGGCGCTACCTGCTGGCTTGGATTGAGGCCCTAGTTTAACTGGCTCCTGAGGCTTTCTGGGTAGGAGAGCCTGAGCTGGCCTTTGGACTTTTCCTTCCATTGGCCCTTTTTCAGGATCCAAAATAGGTAATTGTTGCATTTCCAGTATTCTCTCAGATGATGGCTCTCTCTAGCTCTTCCCTGATTATGTGGCCCCTTGAGGAACCCCAGTCACAAGGCTTTGGGAGTAGAAAGAAGCAAAGAAGGAAGGAAGGATGGATGGATTTATATGGCACCTACTAGGTGCCAGGCCTTGTGCTAAGCCCTTTGCCGATAGGAGTGCGCATTTGATCCTCACAGGAACCCTGGGAGGGAAGGGGTAATATAACCCCCATTTTACAGATGAAGAAACTGAGGCAGGGCAGCGGTGACATGACCTGCCCAGGGTCACTCAGCTGGTCAGTGTCTGGGGTTAGATTTGGAACTCTGGTCTTTCTGGGTCCGACATGGCGCCCGTAGCTACTTGCCTCAGTGAAGCTAAAAGCGTGTAGAAGAAGAGCTTCAGTCTGAGCTGAGGGGGAAAGTAGAGTCTCATTTCCTCCAGTGAGGTGGGCTGAGATGATCTGGAGGCCATTCATGCTGTTTGTGGTCAGAAACCAAGCACATGAAATCTGTTCTCTAGAAGAACGCTTGGAGCCGTTGGCAGGATCAGTTTGGAAGTTAGCGCCATGTGTTTTTCTTGCTCTTCTGTCCTTTAGGAGATGCCCCCTGATGCCTACCCAGAGGACCCTGAAGCCTACCCTGCTTCCATGTTGAGTGGTGGTGGCGGCGGCGGCGGCGGCAGCTGTAACAGCAGCAGCACCCTCCATCTGCACACAGGAGGTGGATATCTTGGCCTAAGCTTTACTTGTCCTAGTCTTAAAAATCCTATTAGCAAGAAATCCTGGACTCGCAAATTAAAAAGGTGGGCATACAGGCTACGACAGTCAACCAGCTTTGGCAAGAAATCTAAAGCCCGTCAAGGTAGTGTGCTTACAGTCAGGGCCATAGGCTAGGTAACATCACTTAATTTCCTTTGATGATTTTGCTTTTCATGAACAAGTGTTCTCACTTTTTCCACCAAGCCTGTGTTTGCAGCGTGTCCCATGAATGCCACTGTCACCATCCTTTGCTTTCTGTAACCAGTTTGTTCCCATTTTTCATTTCACGTAGAAGCTCAGATTGGGAACGCGTCTTGTGGCGCCTCATTCCAAGCTCGGGAACCAGCAGGCTACCTTGTAAACCATGTAGGCTGAGTGAAGCTTCTTTCTTCTACTTTTTTGGGGATCTGATGAGCACATGAAATGTTGACAAACGCTGTTCTTGTTTGTGTGTTTATCATTGGGCCACACTTGCAGAGGAGATGGAGATGAGGTCCAAAGTTGCTTCAGCCCCACCACCTCAGGCAGGAGAATCTGCATTTCTCAATAAGTGCATAGCAGCTGGCGCATTTCAGCGGGGCAGGTTCCAGGTTGGTGTCTCAGCTTACTCCTTTGTTGAGAAATTTTTTGGGGGGGTGCGGATGTAGAATCTGGACTTGTGATTTCCTTTTCCCTGTGCTGTACAGGGTGCTAGGTAGCACAGTCTCTCTTGATTGGCTTCTCTCTGCTGCACTCATGTTCCAGTATTAGGTATTCACTTTCTGTATGTTGGGGCCAGCCCTTCTTGTAGGCGTCCCTGCCAGAACTGAATGAATGCTGTGGGCCCTCTCAGTCCCCGGGGTCAGCAGGTGGGGTTCTTTAGCGGCTTTGGCTCGCCTCAGGCCCTGAGGACGTTCTCTCTGCCACTCGCCTCTCTTTGTGCCTCATCAGCAGGTGAATACAGTTGCTTTTTGTGTCAAAGACTGTGTGCCCACAACCAAACAGGTCCTGACCAGTCCTAACGAAGATGGTGGAAAGGAGACTTGGCTTCCTTCGGCCGCTCTCCCTGAACCTTACAAAGGCAACCAAGGCTTGAAAGAGGGGGAAAACCTTTTGTCTGTCGGCGCGGCGTGTGACACTGATCCAGCCTCTGCTACTGAGAGTAGTGCACAGTCTGGGCCTGAGCCCGCCAGGGGAGCTGTTTGGACCCAGCTGAGCTCAGAGAGTGAGTCTTCTGCTCCTCTTGGCCCCTCAGAAGAGTTGGCGGGAAGTCCCAGTGAAGAGAACGGCTATCGCTTACCAGTCCAAGAAGAACTGCCCTGTGTTCAGCCCCAGAGTGCACTTTTCTATTCTCCGTCCTCCCCGATGAGTAGTGATGATGAATCTGAAATTGAAGATGAGGATTTGAAAGTGGAACTTCAGAAATTACGGGAAAAGTAAGTACCGCTTTTGTCATCTCCGTCACCTGGCTTGCTGAGCTCAGAATTTGGGTTGGGGTAGGCCTGGAATTTGGGATTGAGAAGCCAAAAGGGGGTGGACTTGCCATGAACCCTAAGAAAGCCCTGACAGGAACGCTGCGGCACATGCTTGAGGGTTAGCTTTAGAAGCTTCGGGAATTTTGGTGGCAAGTTTTCTCCTCCTTTAATCTACAAGCATTTGTTAAGAACTTCCTTAAGCTTCCACATTCCGGTGATTCAAAGATAATAAATAATTGCTGCCCTCATTTGCTCTTTTTTTTATTACACTTAGTCATTTCCAAGAAGAAGATTCAAATTATTACCTTATTGTGAAGTGTTTTTATTATTACGTAATTATTACATGTTTTGCCGATTTGGGGATGTTGCTTTTTAAGTGCAGTGCACGAAACATGGAATACTCTTTGTTTGAGTTTTGAGATGTGGAATACTTAATTGTTACCCAGAAAACCAATTTTTTTTTCAGAGTATCTGAATTCAGTAGTTAAATATCTTTTTAGATATTTAGATACCTTTAAATGCAGTCACAAACTAAACAGAAAATGAATCTCATGCTTATGAAACATTTAATTTCCCAAGTGTTCATAGAACATCTGTGTCACTACAGAGTTTGGTAGATTTCTTTGTTTTCTCTAATACTGAAGAATAGGATGCCGCTCTTTCTCTACTGTCCAGATGACAGATGACTGGATGGGATCGCAAAGTTTTCGAATGCCTAGTTGGCATGTACTGGTAACTCTGCTAAGAAATCCCTGTTTTCTTTGGGAGTTTCCGTGAGTTAAAAGGGCCCTCAGCCCTGCAATTGAATCTGATCCCTCTCTGACTAAGAATCTCCCAAGGGGTCAGCCCGGGAGAGAAGAAGAGGTCACGTGGGGCTGTGGAGCTAGCCTGAGGAAGCCGAGGCTCCTATAAGTGCCATTGCCGGTCTGAGATTGGGATCTACCCGGTCCAGTTTTGCATAGTTAGCTTTTCTTTAAAAATATGTTTAGTTTTTACATGGTAGAAAGCCTCTCTCCTCTTCCATATTGACAGCCCTTCACCTACTCAAACACAGCCAGCACATCTTCCCTAAGCCTTCTCTTCTGAATTGGCAAGTCACTTAACCTTTTCCATGCCTCAGTTTCCTCATCTTCCAGTGCTCTCTAAGGCTCCTTCCAGCTCTGGATCTAAGGTCTGTGAATTCAGGGGCTCTGGGCGTCTTCTCTAGCTGCCCAATCATAGTTGATCCTCTGGTGACCTTCCTCTAGAATGCTCTCAAGCTGATTAATGTCCTTCCAGAACTGAATGCAATAGTCCCCAGGTAGCAGGAAGTCTGAATAGGGCAGAGGATACCTCCGGAGGCCAGGCCTCTGTTAACGCAGCCCACATTTATGTGAGCTTTCTTGGTGACCACAGCACACTGCTGCCTCACATTGGGCCTGCAAGACCACTCAACTTTTTCATAGGACCTTCAAGGTGACATTGACTAAAATCCTTAGAACTAGAATTTCCGAATGTCCTGCAGTTTTATGTTAATAAAGGAATAAAACTGGAATTCCAGTGTTTGTGTGCCCACGTACATATGTGCACATATGAGGAAGGGATGTTTTTCTACAGTCTTTTCCGCTCTAGACTTTCCCCCAAAACGAGAAGAAATGTTTCTGGAAATTCACAGGAGTTGATCAAACTCCATATTAAACAGCCTGTGTGCATTTGTCATTTCTATTATCATACCTCTAGAATGAATGAGCATTTCTTAGGCACTTGCTGAGCATTGGGATCCAAAGAGCCTTGGATGCTTTTGGGTTTGGTTTGGTTTTTAACTCAGCAGATGTCGGCCTTCTCTTCCTCCCAGTCATTCTGCCACATTGAGAATGAAAGAAAACCAAATTCCTGCATTAGCCATTTCCCCCCACATAGGCATCAGGCTGGCCAGAAGAGGACGGATCATGCACGTCACCACGAGGCCCCTGGAAACGGGGTCGGGCACCGTGTCGAGCAGGCTTGTTTATCATCATCGTATACTTGTCCATCCCCCTGGTTCTGCTCATGTATTTCTCTCTGCATCAGGTCACATGGGGGCTGCTGCTGTTGCCAGGGCTTTTGGGTGACCCTACCCTTCAGTCGGGGGTGGGGATGCCTAGCCCTTTCTCCCCAGGGCTTTTTCCTCTGGGTGATGGCTGTTGGAGCTGGAGCTGGTGATCTTGGGGGCACACCCTGCTTCTTAGGTCTGGGGACTTGGGCCGTCTCCATCAGGGTCTGAGGGGAGCTGGTGGCCTCTATCTACATCCCTCCATCTGTCAGCCCCTTAACTCTGAACGCTACCCCCACTCCCCAACACACACACACACACACACACACACACACACACACACACACACACACACGTACATCAGAAGGCAGACTTAGAGCTCCATCTCTCAGGCTCCAAGACATTTGTATGGGTCTTTCTCATGGCAGACCAGTGGCCCGTGATGTTTGTATATCCTCTTCTGTTCAGCTGTTCTGCAGTATTGGCTAGCTAAATAATGCTGCTGGGTATGTTTTTGGACAGTTTTTGTCTCCCTTGGGGTGTAATCCCAGTAGTGGAAACACCATATCCACACATTTATGTAGTTCTTGGTTCTGTGATTTGGTGAATTTGAGAATCGGAAGGCACCCCAGTGGCCAGACATAAAAATTGTCCCCATTATAACATACTTGACAAATCCATGCTTGTCATCCAAGTTCTGGTTGAAGACTTCCGGGGAAGAAGGGTCTACCGCCTCCCCAGGACACTAATTCTGCTTTTGGACAATTCTCCTCATTGGCAGCTTCCGCTCACCCCCACCCCCACTCCATGGCTCCTGGATCTGTCCTCTGTCCCATCCTTCCCCCCACATGACGTACCATTGGACACTGCTTCTGGGGCCCCCTGAGTCTTTTCTTCTCCAGGCTGTCCTCAGAAGGCACAAACATTCTTCACCCTCCTGATTTAATGATGACTTTGTTAAACAGCGGAACCCAGAACAGAAGGCCTCCCTGCTCCTGGGAGCTATGTCTGCCTTAATGTTGTCCCAGATTGCAATAGCATTGTTGGCTATCACATCACACTGCTGCCCACTCAGACCCCCGTATCCTTTTCAAACTACTGTCCCATCTTGTGCTTCTCAAGTTTTAGGTTCAGTCCTTAATTCCTCCCCCCACCACCTGCCACCTAATTGTACACTATTGTCTGTCCCACAGTTTAAAAGGCTTTTATGACAGGAAAGCCAGAATGATAATAGACCAAATTATAACCCCCCAAATTGAATCAGAAAAGACCTTTGACAAAACCGACCCTAAAGACCCTAGGAGCACCTGGGAAGGGAGCATCTTTGTTACTGGGCCTAGTGTGATCTCAGAGAGCTTCCTGAGGCTTTTCCAGGGATGCACAGCCAACGTCCAACAGACTCAGCAGCCATCCAGCCACTGCGTCACATCTTCTCTCGTGAGAAAGAGCCTGAGATGGATGTGGGGAAACATCTAAAGTGGCCAGCACCCCACCATTTTTGTTTGCACCTGGCCTTGGTTTTGAACAAAGCTCCCAAACTGCCTGCTGGCCATGTGCTTCTCTGCATCTGTCTGCCTCCACTCTAACTTTAGATTTTTTTCCTTGGGCTCTTCAGACACATTCAGGAGGTCGTGAACCTTCAAGCCCAGCAAAATCGGGAACTCCAGGAGCTCTACAGTCGCCTCCGGCCCATTAAAGACAGCAAATCAGAATCATCCGAGCTGCCTCTGCAGCCTGCATCCCCTCGCCGCCCGAGGTCCTTCAAAACTAAACTCCGAAGCCGCCCTCAGTCCTTGACCCACGTGGACAATGGTATTGTTGTTGCTACAGGTAACCTAACCAAAAAAAGGGTTACCTGAAGAGCCTCCCCCTGGCCACCAGTAACAAGGCCACCTTTCTTTTGTAAATAGGACCTTGGGGCCAAGGAGTAGCCTTGATCAGTTTTTTAAAGACAGGCCAAGGCCAAGAGTTTCTCTGAGTTTTCCTTGGGAGATGTAATCTCTATGTGTAGTAGGTGGTAGGGAGGAACCACTGTTACACAAGTGCCCAAGTGTGGACAGAGGCAGATTGGCTAGACCCTGAGAGTTTGTTTCAAGGTGGTCTCAGAGTTCTGTGTCCAAGGAGAAGCTAACTTGATTGAGTTTCTCTGTTATCCAGAATAGTTTTGAGGTGGCTTCTGGCAGCTTCATGTTGCTTCTCTCTTCCCAGTTGGGCCTCATGTGCCCTCCCCCAATCAATGAAACACAAATACCTTTGCTTAAACTTTTTGAAGCTAACCCCAGCCTTTTTATTTATTTATTTATTTGTTTGTTTGTTCATTCGTTCGTTTATTTTTAAGGCAATTGGGGTTAAGTGACTTGCCCAGGGTCACACAGCTAGTTAAGTGTTAGGTGTTTGGTCTGAGGCCAGATTTGAACTCAGGTCTTCTGCCCCTCCAGCATTCTTTGAGAATGATACATGTTTCCTAGAGCTTTTTTTCACAGAAACGATTATTGGGTGTGCTTAAGTAAGATGACAGCTCTTTGAGTCAGTTTTGGCCACGGATCCCGAGCACCTGACAGCTCTTTTCTAATCTTAACCCTCTTTTATGGGGGCATGCTTATGAATGGAGGCCCCATCCAGGGACATTGAGTAAGCATCTCTTGTGTGTCCTCTGCTGCCACCTTCATGGAGCTCAGACTCTCATAGGGGCTGGCTATTTGACATGAGGTAAATGGTGGCTAATAAGTATTTGTTGAATTGAATTTGAGCCTCCCCACAGCCCTGTGAAGTCAATGGGAATTGGCCTAGTTGAGAGTTGAGAGTCCTGAAGTCAGGGATGTTCCAGGGCCAGCTGCAATTCTCACTCAGATTTCTGGTCCCGAAGTCAAGGGCACTTTCCACAATATATGCTGCTTGTAAATGATAAAAGGACTTTTTAAACTTTTCTTGATAGCTTTGGGTTTTATATCATCTTCATTTCTGAATGAATCCCTCCCATCTTCACTACCTAGAAAGCCTTGCCTTTGAATAGAAAAGAGGCAGAATTAACTAATCACTTCTTCAGCGTACCCAAAGCCCCCTGCCCTAGTGTCCCCAACCTTAGCATTTTCTGTCTGTTTGGGGACAGTTTAATTACACAGCATTTAGGTTTTTTTCTTTTTCTTTTTTTTTTTTTAATTTTTAGGTAGTTGAGGTTAAGTGACTTGCCCAGGGTCACACAGCTAGTAAGTGTCAAGTGTTTGGTCTGAGGCCAGATTTGAGCTCAGGTCCTCCTGACTTCAGGGCCAGTGCTTTATCCACTGCACCACCTAGCTGCCCCTGGTTTCATTTTTAAAATTATTTTCATGATATCTAATCGAACTTAAAAAAGTTTGTTGCCTGCCTGTCTTCCTCTACCCAGGTGGCTGCACTCTGGGGTAGTCCCCTGATTTTTCAGTTATTCTTGTCTAAGAAGTAGACTGGGACTCATCTTCATGCCAGTTCTCCCTGCCCCCAGTCCCATAGCCCTGGGGTGTCAGAACAGAGAAATTGGGATTTGGGGAGGCCGAGGACACCTTGAGAGGTGGCCTAGGAAGATCAGGGGTCATGGCTTCTTCCAGTCCCTGCAAGAGTTAGGCTTCCTGGAGCTTTGGCAGTGTGTTCTCAGATCACATTCTTTGAAAATGGGGATGTATGTTTTACAAATCATAACAGAATTCAAATCATCATTGATCTTATTGGAGAAATTCAACTCAAAGACAGGCATGTAAATGATCCCTTGTCAAAATGGGACTTGGGTCAACCAAGCAGATAAATCTCCTTGTTTGGCGTGAGGGGTTTTGCTTTACCAGCTTCTCACAATGACACAGCTTGAGCATACAGAACTAGAGGCTTGAGGTCAGTGGAGGAAAATGGGAGGTGCACAGGATGGGGACCAAGCCAAAGAGAGCAGGACAACAACAGCAATGGCCTCTGCTGGGGGTTTGAGAGCCCCTTATTCTGGGATTCAAAACTACCACTCGTAGAGTCAGGTCAGTTCCTTAACTCAGTCTGGCCTTGAAAACATTTGTTTTCTCCATATGCTGATCAGAGCCTATTGTGATTCAGGTTGAGGTCAGGTCTGAGGTTTGCCGCTTTATAGACTGTATCTTCACACTGTCAAAATAGGGGAGGCTTGAGAAAAAAAAATCTGTCAATCAGCATTTATTAAGTGCCTACTACGTGCCAGGTTCTGCTACGGGCTAGGGTTAAATACAAAGAGAGAAGTGAAACAAAAGGCTAATCAGTTGATTCTGGGGAGGAAACCCTGAGGTCTTGAGGAAAGTCATCCTGGCACTCTGATGAGGTTAACCTGGGAGTTAATCAGGATCACTTAGGATGCGCTTAGGATCACTGCTACAGTTTCTGAATGTCTCTTGTAACCAGTGGCTCTAACTCCAGCCAGCCCTGACCCTCAACATTTGACTTCCCTGCTCTTTGTTGTAGATCCACTGTGTATGGTGAACAGCGCAACGTCTTGTCAGCAGTCACCGGCCAGCAAGAAAGGCATGTTCACCGATGACTTGCACAAGCTGGTGGATGATTGGACGAAGGAAACTGTGGGAAATGCTCTCATTAAGCCGAGCCTGAACCAGCTCAAACAGAATCAGCACAGATTGGAGACGGACAACTGGAACAAGGGCTATGAGGTAAGTGGTGAGTCGCAGGGCAGGGCAGGGCTGGGATGAGGCTAGTGCCACTTCGTGTACGCGTGCAGTTAGGCCTGAACTTTGCAAAGCCAAATGGCTGCTTTGGTGGCTTCAGGGGTTGGCCCACTTTGGGCATGGTGCTGTCCTCTGCTTCTGCTCACGTACTCAGTAACACTTGGGAGATGGAGCAGATTTCAAGGCTATGAGACAATATGGCCCCCTCTAGTGGGAGAATTGGCTCCTGAGCAAGTACTGTGACAGCCCACTGGGTGGTGGGCGCTCATTTTGTCCATGCCAGTGGCACCTGGCATCCTGACACCTCTGTGAATAAGCTGCTGTGACCCCAGAGATGACTTCTCTGGATTCAGTGACTAAGATCTTAAAGATTTGGGTAGAAGCTACTCGTGTGTTCAGGAGCTAAAGCCTTTTCTGCCCATGGTGGCCCAGAAGGACCTGGAGAGTACCGAGAGTTGTAGAGGGTGGCCTGCAGAAAGGGTTGGCTTTGGGGAATTGGGGGAGGTCTTCAGGCTCCATTGGAGGCGAGTGAAGGGGCAAGAAACTGATATTTTGGTTTTGCCATTCTTTTGATCAGAACCCTTCGTCTACGGTGGCTTACACATCAGCCTGGATCTCATCTCTCTCCCAAATCCGTGGCCCTGTCCCAGCTGCCTTGCCACAAGGAATCTCCCTCCCATCCTTCCCTGGAGCCTTGCCTTCTTACGGAGTGCCACACGCCTGCCAATATAACACTGTGGGCGCTGCTGGCTACCCAATGCAGTGGGTGGGAATTTCAGGAACGGCTCCGCAGCCTGTAGTGATCCCCAGCCAAGCAGTGGGCCCTTTCCAGCCTGGGTTGAATTTGCCAGCCTTTCCAGCGGCCCCAGTGCAGAACTCGGCCCCAGGCCCACCTGGGCCCAAGTGAGAGCGCTGGTCAGGAAGGCCCCTCCCCCTCCCCCTTCTGCCAAGGTGTGCTTGTCGTTCTGCACACGGGCATCACTTTTCACTCCAGACCCTCATTCCTCTTTGATACTTGATGCTTGCCTTTTGTATCCCCATCCCCAGTTGTTGAGAGCTCCTCTTCCCAATACAAATTGGCCTCTTGGTACACCCCCCACCCCCACTGCTGTTCAGCTTGGTGAGCCTTGTCCTGAAATTTCACAGGAGCTACTTCAGATAATTGTCACAGAATGGGAACCATGTTATTACATTCTTGATGGTCCAGTCCCATTGGACTCCTTCATGTGTTGTAATGTTGAGTTTAGGCCAAGGCTCATCACCCTGGGCTGGTGGGGAATGACTTCCTATGACCACCTTTGGGTGCATGGACAGAGAGAATCATCTTGGTGGTAAATCCCTGGCATGCCACCTTTGGAATGAGCTTTTCACAAGCATAGGAGCTGAGCAGCATTCTGGGGGGGAGGGGGGGAGCAAATAACCCACAACTGGGGACAGTTCCTTAATTCTGCTGAAGGGGTTCAGTATTCTCCTTGTTCCCGATATGCCATACACACTACATGGTTTTTTGAGCGGCTGAGAGGTGTGTCTGGCTGTGGATCCCCTTTGTAGGGTTCCTTGGGACTCTGGGAAAAAAGAGAATTAATGGTTCTAGCCCCGTTTGTGCATTTACCTGATAGGAAATGTACTCAACCCAACTTTGGAGGTTAGGAGACTTGAGTTCCCTGGCCTCTGGGAGTGAGCCTTGAGTGAGACTGGAGGCCCCCTGAGGAGCATGGGGGAGGGGAGGGGAGGGACTTGCTTGGTAACAATTTCTCTAAATAACTCCACCCCAGAAAGGATGGCTTGGGTATTTGAAAGGGTTTGAGCTGATCTGGCAGGTTTTTTGAGGAAGGCAGACATGATTCCTTTTTCTTTCCTGAAGTTCACCACAAGGTCATCTTGGAGCCTCCTGGGCTTGGCCTCTGGAGCCAAAAGAGCCTCATTTCCTGGGCTTGGCCTTCCAGGCACCTAGAAGTACTTGAAACTCTTTCTCTTCAACTTGAAAGGTTTCAGGACCTTTCTCTATATCTTCAGGCCCCTTCTGGGACCCTTTAGTCCCAGTTAAGGAGCCCTTGCTTCTAATAAATACTTCCCCAAGTCACCAGTTTTTACCCATCACAAATAAGATTTAAAGAACGCTTCTAAAAATTGTATCATGAGGCTTAAACATTACTACTGGCCAGTGAGATGACTTTCACTTGGTCTATTTGTTAAGGCCTCTACCCTCTAAAGAGAACCTGGCCCCCTTTCCTCACACCTACACTAGTCAGAATTCAGCATGGGGTGGGGAGGGAGTGATAGGTTATCATGCCAACCGTAACCCATCACGGTAGACATAGATTGAACTCTTGCGGTATGTTTTCCAGTGTTCGTCACATTTTCAGATCCCTGAAAATCTCTTCTCCTCCACTGGCTTGAAGGCAGTGTGCCTTGGCGTGATGGTATATGTAATGCAGCCATTCAGAAGCAGTGCTCTTTTGACCAGGAAGACTTCCTGCAAGCCACAGCCCCACATTTCCTTTCCTGAATTGACTGTAGAATTGGTCTCAGACCTGCAGCCTCTGAAGGACCAGTCCATGCTCTCAAACGCCACAGGCCCTGAGGGGGGACGACCATCGCCACCTCTGGTTCGCGTAGAGAATTCATCATTCTTATTTGCCTGCAGACTTTTGGCAGTGCCTTGTGATAATTAGAATCTTTTCAGGTTTTTACTGGAAAGGAGATTTGTTTGAAGAATTTGGAGAATGTCCTGCTGTCTCCATGGTGAACACAGCAGCTAGGGATGACTTGATAGAGAGAGATGTATGAGTGTATCTCTCTATATAAACACATGCCTAAAACAGTGAGTCTGTATCAAGTTGAAGAAAACTGTTCTTTACATCACTGTTTTTATTTAATTCATTTTTTTCATTCCTTAAAAAGATTTCCTTCAGATTATAGGCACTTTGTATATACTGGCTAGTTTTCTACTTGAGGATTTTGCATTATTTCGTAATTTTGCTAAATCAGATAAAAGTGCCGTTTTCACCTTTTCTGAGGTATGTGAAACTCCACTCTCCCCTCTCCCCCCACCCCAAAAAAAAAAGAAAAAAGAAAATTAACTTCAAGTCAAGCTGATAAAGAAAAATTATCAGTGTATCCAAGAGACTGCTCTGGCAGGAGGCACTGTCCTGTCCCTGGTGAGCATCTCGTCTGTTTCCAAACTCTCCACACACATCCCCCCTCAACACAGCTGACAGTCTTCACGAAGATTCCTCTTGAGAAGAAAGTGTGTTATATGTCAAACCATCATGTGTACTTTGAAGTGCAAGTCCAATGCATAGTACCGTATCTTCGTACCTAAATGTGTGAGCTGCTGTATCATGGAATGTCTGCCACTGTGTCAAGTCGGGTGACACACCTCGAGAGTAGGAAACCAGCTAGTAGCATAAAGCTGAGGAAAAGAACACTTGGTATTTCAAAGAATTTGCTGTAATGTGACAAATGGCTGTTCCGTTCTTCACCCCTTGCCAATTTTATATCGAGCATGAATTCTGATGATTTGACAGCAAGAAAAAAAAAAGTCTGACAGTTGAAAAGGCCCTTTTCTGCTATGATTTCTAGATTGAGTGTGGCTGGAGGTGCACGGTCTGATGGAATGGATCGTTTTTGTAACTCCAGTTTGGTTGTAGTCCAGTTACTTTTCTTTATCTACCTCGTTTTCAGTGCTGTTTGAGGTGCACAAGTTGACGCTGTTGCCTGTGAACTTTTATTTTGGGGGTGGGGGGATGCTTGATTTTCAGTGTTTCAGCCTGGTGGATCCCCTCATCCCAAAGCTGTGAGCTTGGGATGGGGCAGGGATAGCCCGCTCTCCCCATCGGCAGCCTCTTTTCAAGTCAAATGGTGCAAACTGTGCATCTCAGTTGAAATAAGCTTTGGGGATTTGGAGACACGTGATATGGAGGAAAGGAACCATGCAACTTGATTTGTGGTGATGAATCCCATGGAAATGAGTTGAAAAAGCAGTACCCGGGAAAATGTTGCGAATCAGACAATCCCATGCCTCCCCTTCACTGTATGCCTAGCTTTTCCTGCAACAGGAGAACATTGGAAAATCGACCCCATGCTGGCCTGATGTTCACCATGTTACCAAACACCAACGTTTGGAGGGCTGTCTCTGGGTGCTTCAAAATGATTCAATTATATTTGATTTCAGGTTTGATTTGGGAAAACCCAGGAAGTAATTGTCAGCCACCTTGGCCTTGGTTTTCAGTGTTTCCCCAGCCACATCACTGGATAGACATTGCAGAGATACATTGACCAACAGTTTTCTATTTCCTTGTTCAGAGGAAGTGGAATATTTGGGGGTAAAGGGTGCCGGCTGGTTTCCTATAAGGGCCTTCCATAATTTTGATTGCCTTTCTCCTCCCTTACTCTCCCCCCTTATTCAGTAGATGAGCTCCGGGGAGGGAATGAAGCCAACCACCATTGGCATGTGCACAGCCCTGATTTAGCATGGGAAGAAGAGGGGTGAGCTGGTAGACAAAGGCGAATGTGAAGCTAGGAATATGAAAGAGATAGCCTTGAACCCCCAAATCTAGACCCTAGAGAAAGAATGGGCCATTTGGGTTTGGGAGGTGCTTTGGTGGCCTTTCTGATGAGTAGGAGCCATTGGGCAGGGTTGGGCCAGAGTGGGCAGTGAGGTGACACTTGTGCCCTGTCGTCCCGTCCCATCCCCGTCCCCCCCGCCGAGCGCAGACGGAAGCTGGCAGCTGTCTTGGGGGAAAGCCAAAGGAGAGAATGGAGAGGGGCCCCCTTGCCCGAGGGATGCTCGCTGCCTCGTGAGCCTTTCTCAGCCGAAGCCATGGGCCCTACTGAATGAAGGTGCCTTTTTTCTTCGTAGGGGCTCCTTAGGCAGCGTCTGCGTGTGCGGGGACCTCCCGCAGATCAGGTTGGGGGGGGGCTTTTTGCTGCCCTCCCCCCCCAAAACGCAGAAGCGTCTTGGCCTCGTGGGGTTGGGCGGGCGGCCTCCCACTCCCCCACCGGGATCTGTCTCGCTTCTGGAAAACTGTGACCTTTGTTTTATTTGTACTCGACCATGACAAATGTTATCTTTGGGGGGAATTTTTATTTGGAAAAGGAAAATAAAGGCTGTGTTCATGGAGTGTTGGTTCTTTTCTCGAAGCGGGGGAGGGACCTGCGGGGACTTCCTCGGGCCATCTGCAGGGGGAGGGAAGAGGGGGCGGGGCCTGTGCACACGCGGCGGCCCCCGTGGGATCGGCACCTTCTTCCCCCCCAGGTGCCCCCTCCTCCTCCTTCCCCCTTCAGTGGGGGGGGTCTCCCAAACTCCTGCGCCTGCCCCAAGGCGGGGGCGCCCACGTTCCGGTCATGCCGGCCGCCACGGGGGTGCGGGCCTTCTGGGGGTGCTTGGAAAAGCTGTGCCCGGGCGTCTTGGTGCGCTTGGATCCCCTAGGGCGGCGGCTGGTGGAGCGCTGGGTCACGTGGCCGCCGGGAGGCCGGGGCTAAGAGGGGCTGGCTCGCCTCAGCCCACCTGCCTCCGTCATTGCGTGTGCTTCCGGGTCAAGGTGAGCGCGGCCCGGAGCCGTCACCCGGCCCGCCGGCGCACGCGCGTCTCCAAGCGGGAGGGGGAGGGGAGGGAAGGGAGAGAGAGTGAGAGTGCGCGCGCGCGCGCGCGCGCAGGAGACTCCGGAGTGAAGACCGGGTTCCAAGGTAGCGAGGCTTCCGCTCCGCTGATTGTGTGTGTGACCCTGGGAAAGGGCGACCCGTGTCGGTGTCCTTGAAGTCACAGGTTGGGGGGGAGGGGGAGTGCCCTTCACCCTCGTTACAAACTCAGTACTAGAACATTGGAAGCATTAGCCACCGGGCCCTGCCCTCAAGGTGGTCACAATCTGCACTGGCACATAGTAAGCGCTTGGTGTCTGACTATTTGGCAGCAGGCAGGGAATAAAGAAACCAAACTTTCTGTAGGAGGTCACTGACCCACTTAGGTTGAAAGCCAAGGCAGAGCACATTCCAGGTAGGGGGATCAAGCTGTGTCAGGGCCTCAAATTAAGACAGTGACCTTGGGAGAGAAGGCAACAGGAGGGAGAGTTGTTACGAAGGTGGAACCAATTGGAATGCCGGAGAATAAGGAGTTGAGGAGGACAGAGGTTGTGAATTTGAAGGAAGATGGTGATGATTACGAAGAAGGAAAGAGGAAAAAATTGGGAGGAAAATGGTTCTCTGACATGGAGCATCTGTTCCACGGTTGGGAATGTGGGCCCGCCGCGGGCAGAAGTTCAGTAGAAGCAGATCTTGCTCCATAGATCTGGCACTATTACAGACTGTCTCCCCCACATCTCTGTCAGGATGCCCCAGAGACTTGGAAAACTAAGTGAGTTCCCAGTAGAACTCGTCTTTCCCCTCAAATACCATCTCCTTCCTAATCCCTATTTCTGTCAAAGCAACCATCATCCTTTCAGTCAATGAAATGGATAACTTCTCACTCTCCCTTCATCCCCATGAGGTACCCATTCTCATGGCTACCTTCCCATCTCCACAATCGTGTCTGAGTCCTTCCAAAATAGCTCTGGCCTGAGCAGTAGGCCCCCCATTAGTGTGTCTGCCTCACATCTGTTCCCTTTTCTCATGCATCTTCTAAACTGCTGCCAGATTCACATTCACAAAAGTGATCTATGTCCCTGCTCCCAATAAAACATCTTCGATGACTCCTCCATTTTGTCAAGTCACCAAGCATTTCTCAAGAGCCTACTCCGTGCTTAGCACTCTGACAAGTGCTGAGGATACAAAGAAAGGCAAAAGCCAGGCTCTGTTTGTAAGGAGCTCAGAGGTTAAAGGAGGGAATGACACAAAAACAACTCTGTATGACAAGCTACAGAGAGGCAGTAATGGCCAAAGGAAAGGCCTTAGCAAAGGCCTCCTGTAGAAGGTGGGATTTGAATTGCGACCTGAAGGAAGCCAGGAGAAGCCAAGATGAAGGAGGAGCAAATTCCAGGGGGACAGCCAGGGAAATGCCCAGAGCTGAGACATAGAAGGTCTGGGACAGCCAAGAGGCCAGTGTCATGGAGCCATAGTAAGGTGGCAAGGAGTGACCTACTTTTGGAGAGGTTCCAAGAAATTAGGGTTAGTGTAGAAGAAAAATTCTGAGTCCTTGGAATAGATAGGTTCTCACTGACCCATTCTGATTTGATTTTTTTTTACTTGATTTTTCATTTTCAGTTCCAAATCCTCTCCCTCCCTTCACCCCCCACCCACCCATTGAGAAGACGTGTAATAACATACCCATGACACATATCAAGCCAGGCAAAACATATTTCTGCATTACTCCTAGATTGGGGGGGAGCAAAAAAAATTAAAAAGGGGAAAAATCTGCTTCAATCTGCACTCGGGGTTCATCAGTTTTCTCTCTCTCTCTCTCTGGAGGTGGAGAGCATTTTTCATCATGAGTCCTTTGGGGTTGGCTTGGATCATTGTCTTGCTTAGAACAGGGGAGGTTTTTCCCAGTTGATCATCGTGCAATATCGCTGTTACTGAGCACAGTTCTGCTCGTTTCACTTTCCATCAAGTCAGGTGGGCCTTTCTAGGTTTTTCTGCAGTTTTGATTTTAAAAAGAAATCTGCAGAAGAGGAAACACAGGTTGACTCTAAGATTACTGGGAAGCTTCTCTACAACCTCTGAATGATCTAAGACTCCAAGGAACACTGGAAGGGCGCCAATGGGAGCTTTGTTTCCAGCTATCTTGAGTCAAATTGGAGAGAGGACTTTTGATGGGACTGGGATAACTGAGCCCACAGAGGAGATAAGGCAGCTTCAGTCTTCTTTGACAAGGGCACTGACCTTTGCACTAGAAACATAAATGCCTTTGATGAATAAATGTCAACTGGCCTGCCTAGATGAACTCTATCTGAATCTCAGAGAAAGCCCTGCAGGTGCTAAAAAACTGAAGAAGGGCAAAGAAACAGGGGAGAAGAGAGTCTGCCAAGTATAGGCCGGGGAACTTGACTTTGATTCCTGGGATCTGATGGTTGTGGAGATTGTGGCGTCATCCTGTCTCTGGAGAGGCAGGTTTGGGAGCTAACAAAGTTGTTCGTGGTTCAGTGTCAACACGAGAGGTTTCCCCTGCTCGGCACTGTGCTGTCTAACGTTTTTTCTCAGTGACTTGGATAAAGGTATCGATGGTCTGCTCATCCCATGTGCAGATGATACCAAACTGGAAGAGAGAGCCAACCCACTGGGTGGTAGAGTCAGGATCCAAGAAGGTTTTGTTAAGCTAGAGCATTTAGGGTTGGGGTTAGAAGTTTTAGAGTTAGGCTGACGTACTGAGCTAAATCTAATGAGATGAAATGCAATCAAAGTCAGGAAAAATGTAGTCTTACACTTGAGTCCAAAACACAATCATAGGCAGCTGTTGTTTTAAATGGAGTTCAGAGGGCTTGAGTGGACATCAAGCTCAATATGGGGCAGCTGGAAAAGCAACTGTGATTTTAGGCGTCTAGAAAAGTTTTCTGGAATAAAGAGGTGTAGTGTCACTTTCCTCTGTGTTCCTCAGTTTAAAGTGGAGAGTGCCCAAAGGAGGATGAAGGGTCTGGAGTCTTTAAGTCATATGAGAATTAGTGGATACCACTTAAGTTTAGTTTGGAGGAGGAAAGATTCAGAGGGCCATGAGAGCTCTATAAAAGAACAATCAAGTGAGAAAGATTGGGTGGGGCAGAACCTAGAGTGTAGGATGGTAATTGCAAAGAGTGCACTGTGCCCAAGTGTGACTGGGTGGAATCTGATGGGGAGGCCTTTCACATATGGGTTGGGGTAGGTGACCTCCCAGAGTCTGTAGAGGCCAAACCCATGGCAGTCCTAGTTTGGGGGGGGGAGAAGAGGGGACCTGTTCCCATGAAAGTAAGAGATGTGCAAATTTGCTTGTGGTGCTACTCTCTTTTTCATTTTGGCCCCATCTTCTAGCAACCCATTGATAAGAATCTTTTCTGCTTAGTAACATTACCAAAACATTTGACCTTGGACTTAATTTCATGCTCCTCACAATAACCCTGGGAGGTGGGTAGGTGAGGGTTATTAGCCCTATGTTAAAGCATGGTCCAGAGAAGGTAAGAACACCAAATCATTTTCCTAATGCCAAGGTCTGATCATGTTACTCTGTCCTCAAAATAATTGTCTTCCTAATGACTTCAAGGAAAACTCCCAACTCCTTAGCTTAGCATTCAGGGCCCCTCAGCTTCTCTGTTGGAATACTCATGGGGTGAGATCCAGGCCCAGAATTTGGGTTAGAGCCCTTCTCTGACTTCTCCTGCTTCCTCAGATATCCCTAGAGGCCACTGTTCTCCTTGGCCTCCAACATGTCAGTGCTTTGGCCCACTTATTTCTCTATGTGTCACCTTTCAAATGAGATCATTTTTGTCAAGAGCTCTTTGCCCAGTGCCTGGCACCTAAGTAGGCATGACTTCAATGTCCTTTCCTTCACCCCTTCCCTCTTTGTAAACTCCTTTAGGGCAGAAACTGGGTTTTCCATTTTGATCTTTCACACTGAGTCCAAGGTCTCCAGAGGAGCACAAGTCCCGACTCTAGGCCAGGTGACCTGACCCTAATTCAGAGAGGAGGACGTGGGATGCCCTGCTTCTCTCCTCGTTCTCAGAACAGGCTAGACAGAGCTCCCTTTGCTGCTCTCCTCCTGGAGCTGGAGTCAACTTCACTGTCATGTCTTTGGTGAGATAATTGGCTGGCTTCCAGGTAACCCTTCTTGGCTTTCCCAAGATGCTCAGTACCTGGAGCTGGACAGTCCAGGAAAGCACCTCAAAGAAGCCACACTCTTGCTTTGAGTGCCCTGAGTGGGGGCAGGTGAACGTGAGGCTCTTCTTTCACACTAAGTAGTCTCAGTGTGTGATTGTATTTGGGAAGGCACCCTCTATCATTAGGTTGTAATGCTTTGCTGGCTGTGACAGGGAGCCTAATTTAGAGTGCCCAGGAGAGAGAACCATTGGGTCAGTAATGTTGGGTCTTTACAATTCACAGTTGCTTTTTCTAGGTGAATCTCTAAGGCTTCTGTTTCTAGGCTGTCCTTTAAAACTGCTAGTTCTAGGGTCTCCTTTCTTTAAATTGAACTTTGCTCAGAGTTGCACAGTGAAAAGAGTGCAG